ATCTTTTATTTTCAAAAACTTCAACTGTCTGGACTGAGTTTGTTCTGTATTCGTCTTCAAAATATAAATTTAGATAATAAAGTGGTATTTTAAAAATCTGTGGATGAAAAAGTATCATCAAACTATTATTTGGATGGAAAAAAGTCGTTAACTCAATAGTGAATAAATATTTATTTTTTATCACTTGTAAAATCCAAAAACGCTTTTGAATAAAAAGATGTGAGCCAAACACGTCCTATGCGATTGATTTTTTTGTCTAGGTGTTTTGCGAGGTACGGTTGAAAGGTGTGAAAGGGGTTTTAATCAACGTTTGTTGTGTATAAAACGAGGGAGACAGAAGGGTAAGATTGAAAATCAGGGAGAAAGTTAGGGGTATTTTGGGGAAGAGAAAAGGAAGGATGAATGATGATCCACGTCAGCAGCGTCTACGTATAAAGTTAGCAGGACATGGAGTAGAGGAGCTGACGTGGAGAGCGGTGGGATGGGGACTTGGCAGCGTTGTGGTCACGTTTTGGAAAGTTCCAGTTTGGCTTGGGTTAGGAATCGGATTCCGTACGACCGGATTTACTTTTCGCGTATCTCAGGTCTGGCTCTGTGATGTCGCCGCGTCATCACTTCAAAAAGCAAGCACGCATGTTACAGGTCGTGGCCCATCTAGTGACACGACGATTAGATTAAATAATTTAAAAACAAAAATCATTTAATTTAGAGGAGTTGTGTTTGTTTCACGATCATGAATACTATCGTATCCAATTCTATTCAAAATATATAAAGTTTATTCGGTTTATTATTCTAATATATTTTAGAATAATATTTTAAAAAAATTAAATTTAACAAATATTATGATATACGATTTAAAAATTAATAAAAATCCTCTCTATATTTATTTATTTACTAAACACCCCTATAATAAAATATTAAAAGTTAATAAAAATATCTTTAATCCACTTATTAAATATGGACAGCTAGCTACCTCCGTCGAAGGGTGGTTGGAGTCACCATATCGACGCNCATCTAAAATGGAGCTTCCTTGGGATATTCAATAAAGAGAGTTTCACCACACATCACAGTCCTTTCACTATTTACATGTATTAACTTGTCAATTACCTATATATGCATCATTGGCCATGGAAGGCCTGGTGTCTGGTCCACTACCTTGTTCTCTCTGTTAATTTGTCAAGAACTGCGCCTGTTTCATATTCTGCGCAAATCCCTCCTGTTTCATAGACTGTTGATATATGCCTCTTGATAGTGATGTCTTTCAAGTCCCTCCTGGCTATAATGCTCCTCAGCAGGTACTCTTTTTCTTCTTTTTTAAAATAATTTTTGGAAGAAGATATCTTCATTCTTCATTATTTGATTTTTCTGTTTTGATGTTTAAATGTTCATATAACACAAGGAGATCATAAGGGGGAGAGCTGTGATAGTGCCATGGATGACTCCAAACAAACCAGGTTCTAATCAAGTGGTTTATTGGAGTGAAAAATAGCAAGATAAAGAAGATGGCGGAGGGCAAAGTTTATACCTATAAATACTACAATTACACTTCTGGTTACATTCATCACTGCAACATCTCAAATTTGGAGGTGAATTATATTTTCTATCTATTAAATTAGTTGACCCCGTCTCTCTTCTTCTGGCCGAATCACAAGCTCTTTAGTCATTGAGGTTAGTTGTACCTAGGGATCTTGTATTTGAATCGCGAGAGAGGCAATTATCGAGTTTACCCAAAGAAAACTTATCAAGTTTGTTCTCTTGTTTGTGGACAGTTCGACACCATTTTACAATGATCGAGGGAGCTTTCTATGCTTCAACTCCTTTAATTAATATCATTTATCATCTTCCACAAAGTATATATATATATATAACAACTCCCTAATAAATGAGATATTCTTACAAGATCTTTCTTGATTCAAGATAGTCAAATACGTAAATTTATTTGAACTAGTAAATAATATATAGGCTAAAGTTATAAAATTAAGCTAGCAGTGTCACACGTGTCTGAGAGATAAATTTAAATAGATTTGAATCGCGAGAGAGGCAATTATCGAGTTTACCCAAAGAAAACTTATCAAGTTGTGGACACTTTGACACCATTTTCCAATGTTCGAGGGAGCCTTCTACGCTTCAACTCCTTTAATTAATATCATTTATCACCTTCCACAATATATATATAACAACTCTCCGAAAAATGAGATATTCTTACAAGATCTTTCTTGATTCAAGACATAAATATATGGGCTAAATTTATAAAATTAAGTTAAAAGTGTCATATATATAACAACTCCTCGGTAAATAAGATATTCTTACAAGATCTATTTTGGTTCAAGACATAAATATATGGGTTAAAGTTATAAAATTAAGTTAAAAGTGTCATATATATATATATATATATATAACAACTCCCCGATAAATGAGATATTCTCACAAGATCTTTCTTGGTTCAAGACATAAATAGATGGGCTAAAGTTATAAAATTAAGTTAAAAGTGTCATATAAATAACAATTCCCTGATAAATGAGATATTCTTACAAGATCTTTCTTGGTTCAAGACATATACATGGGCTGAAGTTATAAAATTAAGTTAAAAGTGTCATATATATATATATATATATAACAACTCCCCATAAATGAGATATTCTTACAAGATCTTTCTTGGTTCAAGTCATAAATATACGTGCTAAAGTTATAAAATTAAGTTAAAAGTATCATATATATAACAACTCCCCGGCAAATGAGATATTCTTACAAGATCTTTCTTGGTTCAAGACATAAATATACGGGCTAAAGTTATAAAATTAAGTTAAAAGTGTCATATATATAACAACTCCCCGATAAATGAGATATTCTTACAAGATCTTTCTTGGTTCAAAACATAAATATATGGGCTAAAGTTATAAAATAAAGTTAAAATAAAGTTAAAAGTATCATATATATAACAACTCCCCGGCAAATGAGATATTCTTACAAGATCTTTCTTGGTTCAAGACATAAATATATGGGCTAAAGTTATAAAATAAAGTAAAAAGTGTCATATATATAACGACTCCCCATAAATGAGATATTCTTACAAGATATTTCTTGGTTCAAGACATACATATACGGGTTAAAGTTATAAAATTAAGTTAAAAATGTCATATATATAACAACTCCCCAATAAATGAGATATTTTTATAAGATCTTTCTTGATTCAAGACATAGATATTTGGGTTAAAGTTATAAAATTAAGTTAAAAGTGTCATATATATATAAACTCCCCGATAAATGAGATATTCTTACAAGATCTTTCTTGGTTNCTCATAAATACAATGCCACTAGAACCAATTACGTTAAGCTAAGGAAAAGCTAAGTAAACAAAACTTCCTCCACCAAACCAGCCCCTTCCTTTCATGTAAGAGTTTAATAAAGATGTGTGAAACCTCCACTCTCTTCACAACAGTATAAAATTATTTGTAAAAGCAATAAATAAAGAAACGCGGCTTACATGACTATCTTTACTTTTTTTTTTTTTTTTAACAGTGTTTGAACCAGTCTGTATATACCTTAATTAATCCCTCAAAAGTTAAAGTTCTAAAATCAACGACTGGATGTATCTTTCATAACCACTTACCCAAAAGTTCCACCTGACCACTCAAGGGTGGTTAACTATCTTTACTTTTTGGGTGCCTTTGTTTTGCGAAATTTTTTATCACTAAAATTATGGGATTATCACTAACATAAATTAAGATAGAATTATCATTAAGATAGAATTATCATTAAGATAGATTATAGTAATATATTTAGTTAAATTGGTGAGTATAAATAACTAATATGTTTGGTTGAGAGGAATAAAATATTATAAAGGGGTTTTTACTTAATTGTTATTCCTTGTTAATATGATTATTATTATTTAGCACATTTTCTAACCCCTTACATTTGAGAATTTAGCTAAAACACCTCAACAACAAAAGTTTGAAATTTAACAAAATACACATAGCCATCCAAGATGACTATCGGCTACCAACCACCACCGCCAGTGACCGTCGCCAGAACAACGCACAACAAATCGGATTTGGCCAACCTTGCATTGATCTAGCCATTTCTGGCCAAATTGAAGGCCGAAAATGGTAAGATGGCCATAAATCTGGCCGGAAAGCCAAATCCATTCTGACAATTAACGGCTAGATTTGTGGCCATTAACGATCGTGGATCTGGCCGAAAACAATTAGATATATTCTGGTTGTTAACGGCCATAATGGATCTGGTCGTTTTCGACCAAATCCATGGCTATCTTGCCATTTTCGGCCTTCAATTTGATCAAAAATGGCTAGATTTAGCCAGTCGTGCATCGTTTCGACGACTGCCAGTAGCGACCGACGATGGTAGCTGATGGCTGACATTTGTCTTGGGTGGCTAGAGGTATTTTGGTAATTATCCATGTAAATAGTGAGCGTATTTATGTCTTAAAAAATAATATATGAGGTTAAAAAAGTCATTTTGCACATTTGGCCTTATTATTATTTATTAGACATATGAAGGTATTTGTGTTCAAAATGTTTATTAATTAAGAGTAAAATTAGTATGAATAGTTGATTACCTTGGTAATAAAAAAAATAACACCCTCCATGGTAATTGAATTACCCCCATTTTTATCTACAGAAACCACTATTGACAGTTTACTATAATCTTTCGTTACTTTACACTCAAACTTAGTAATTTTCTAGAAATAAGATGATTATACGGTTACCCTTTATGCCCCAAACAAAGGCACTGTTTAGTCTCAAGGATTCTCCCGTGTTTCAAAATTACACTTGAATCCTTTAGTATAAATATATTTTAATATTTTCAAAATAAAATTAATACCATAAAAACTTATAATTAGGAAATTCTTGTCATTACATATAATAAAGCCAAATTACAACTATATACTCAACAACTAACCTTTCCCGGCCAAAAGAACCAGACGACCTCAGACTCCATCAAATTTCACAATTCGCATAATCTAGGCTTAGCGTTAGGGTTAGCGAGATGGAGGGATGGGACCCGAACACGAAATCAACGCTGACCCAGATCCCGCTACTGACGACGAAAGCTGGTCCTAGAGACGGCGCGGCGTGGACGTCGCGGCTTAAAGAGGAGTACAAGGCTTTGATCGCTTACACACAGATGAACAAGTCCAACGATAACGATTGGTTCCGCATCTCCGCCTGCAATCCTGAAGGGACTCGTTGGACCGGCAAGTGCTGGTACGTCCATAACCTCTTGAAGTACGAATTCGATCTCCAATTCGACATTCCGGTTACTTACCCATCCACAGCTCCCGAGATCGAGCTCCCGCAACTCGATGGAAAGACGCAGAAGGTGAAATAACCTTTTAAACGCTTTTGACATGCAATTTTTATTTTTAATTTTAACTTTTGGCTATGTTTGTAGATGTATAGAGGAGGAAAGATTTGCTTGACTGTACATTTCAAGCCGCTTTGGGCCAAAAATTGGTATTTTTCTTTTTTACACTTTCGATTATTTGTTTCTGCATTTTCTATGGTTGTTTGACATGATGAATTGTATATTGTGCTTTGATGATTGTTTAGGCTCCACAGTGTAATCAAAGAAAATTAAATTGAAATTATCAACTTAGGTGATATTATTATGTGTTTAATAGGTTTTCTTTGAACCATGTCATGAAACATATCGCCATTGTGATAACTTACTATGCATTATAGTTCGCAGTTATGAGTCACAAAATCTAGCTTTTTCGTTATTAACATGCATTTGAATTGTTTACATTTTGTTTAAATATGGTGTAATTACTGTGCTCTGGCAGTCCTAGGTTTGGTATAGCGCATGCACTTTGTTTGGGTCTTGCTCCATGGCTCGCAGCAGAGGTTCCCGTTCTTGTTGATTCCGGCATGATTAAGCATAAAGATGATATGAGCTCATCTAGTGAATCTTAGTTATTTAATGTAATACTAAGGTTGTAAAAGTAATGCTCAAGTTTTAGAGTTTCTGGTCTGTTCAATGAAAATAAGTATCGAGGCAAGTGTGCATAACCGATGCATTGCTATACAGTTGTCTGGAAGATGTTTTTTACAGTTAATGTTATCAGCTATATACTCTTGAAAATTTTTACATTTCAAATGCATTTACATACTGATTTTTTAGATTTTCCTTTTTAATTTTAGCAAATTGTGGCATGGATTTTAAAAGGTCTCCTTTCATATGTTCAGTACATTTGTGGAGAATCATCTGATTCAATATTTGGCTGCAAAATTTTGATGTCATCTGAAAGATTGAATAAATATGGTTCTTCATTTTTCAATCTGTTTGGGTGTCTATGGCATCAGCTGTATAGATAGATTGGACTAAGTCAATGACTTTGCCTACATTTCCCTCATAATCTCAAATCTATACATGTATCATTTTTGGTAAAGAGTGTTCTTAGTTCAGATAAAAAAAATTCAGTGGTCAATGATAAGGGGCGACTATGTGTTATGAAGATTGATCATAGTGACATCTGGAATAAGGTAAATATATTGAAGGAGTTGGTGTTTGTTGGTCAGTAGGTGAACTGTATGTGTTGCATGCAAAATTTGGTCATTTTAAGTTAACTTCCATTTTGCATTTTGTAATGTAAGATTGGTAGCTGACGTGAAGGGGGAATGGTGGAATGCGTTTAGGATAATTTTTGTAGTTGGAACTTTGCTATCATAAATATGGAAAAGGAGCTTTAATATTATATAGGATAATTTACATTGTCCATGAAATAATATCTGGGCCTCACATAGTCAATGACCATTTGAATACAAACTGCACTACCTGTGATGAAAGTCCTGCAAATTGTCTAGCCAATCCAATCAAAGATAAATTCAAAACCTATAAATAAATGTTGATTTGCAGCTCAGCAAGATTACATACTGTGCTAAGAAAAGCACAGTAAGTTTTTATGAATTGGATTCAAGAGTGAATATATTGTGTGTAAAATCTTATTTATTCGTCCATTGTCTTCCAACTGTTCTCTATTTAATATATTGGACCAGCTGCTAGGATCTCCGCACTCAGCTTGTTGTCTTCCCCAATCTTGTGATCCATGAAGCCAACAAAATTATTCTTAAAAAGACCTGCTAGCTTCAAGAGGCTGCCCTTATAGGCATTATTGTCTGACCACTATAAATTCAAAAATTACGTTGATCAATTAATTTTTTTGAAAAGCTTAAATATTGTGAAAGGTTGTGAAAGATGTTGAAAGGAAGGCAGCTTACAATGTTCTGTGGATCCAAGATCTCTGAAGGCACTCCCTGAATCTCTGTTGGAATCTCAAGTCCAAACACTTCAGTCTTGGTATAATTCGCCTTCAAAAGTGCTCCAGAATGTATTGCGTCAATGATCTTTCTGGTGTAAGCTAACTTAATACGATTACCCGATCCATAGCTGCCAAAAAGAAAATATATTGAAATGTTTCCATTCAACAAAGTGAACATTTACATGGCTAATAGGAAAAACAAGTTCACAACTTAGATATAATCACAGACCTTCCTCCTGACCAGCCAGTGTTAACCAGCCATCCTGTAGCTGCATGCTTCTGCATCTTTTCAGCCAGCATGGCCCCATACTTGGTGGGATGCAGCATTATAAATGCTGCACCAAAACACGCTGAGAATGTTGCCTGTGGCTGTTTCACGCCCTCCTCTGTCCCAGCAACCTGTTATTACATTGAAGATTAGCAAATTCATAATTTACACAGGATTGCACATTACTTTGGGAATTACAAAGAAAATGACAGGCCCCTAACTAGAGCAGTGTAGCCACTGATGAAGTGGTACATGGTCTGTGCCAAGCTCAACTTGCTCACTGGTGGGAGTACACCAAATGCGTCGCACGCCAGAAGGATTACATTCTTCGGATGAGGACCAATGCAAGGTATCTTGGCATTGGGGATATATTCTATTGGATATGCGGCCCGAGTGTTCTCTGCAACATCAGTTATAGCAGTTAACAAGAAATAGTAGAGAAACAAAATAAGAAAATCATGTTAATATGCAACATTGTTACATAATTGAACCTAAGACAGTGGACATTCATCTTATTTAGAAGAGTAATTCATGTTTACCTGTAACAGATTTTTCTCTGTAGTCCACTTCTCGACTATGCTCATCAAACACAACGTTTTCTAGCACTGCCAAACAAAGTAAGATAAGCTTCAGGATTTCACCAAGGATTCATTCGTTTCTTAGAATTTCAGATTTTAGGAATCAACTGATTCTCAAAAATTCTAACCGGTGAGACTAAATATTTCTTAGACCTTCAATATGGTATGGCACTGAAATTTGTATCCTCATTCATTAGGGAATTTTTTTTTTTTTTTTTTATAGGACGAGGCTGAAATTTTTTTTTTTTTTTTTTTTATAGGACGAGGCTGAAATTTGAATTAATCATACCCACTTATGAAAAGAAATTGATGTGGGTAAGAAAATGTTATTTGTTACCAGTCCCAAACTTGATGGCGTTCCAGATATCAGGTTCCTTCTCCTTTGACAAATCAATGCATTTGGCATAGCAACCGCCTTCAATGTTTGACACACCATTCTCACTCCAGCAGTGTTCATCATCTCCAATTAAATACCGGTTAGGATCAGTAGACAGAGTTGTCTTCCCAGTTCCTGAATATAACAAAATTACAAAAAGATTTCATCAGCAAGGAAACTATGATAAAACAAAGGGTCAAGTGAGTGAAGATAGTAACTGATTGCTTCACATGAGAAGATTGAACCAAAGATCCTGTACCTGATAGTCCAAAGAAAAGAGCAACATCTCCATTTTTGCCCATATTGCAGCCAGAGTGTAGGGAGAGGATTTGACGTTTAGGCATGAGATAATGCATTAGGCTGAAAAGACCCTTCTTCATTTCCCCAGCATACTGGGTGCCAAGGATGACCATTTCTTTCCTGGAAAGATTTATGTCTATGCTAGTAGAGGAAGTCATATGGTGGGTGTAACGATTACAAGGAAATTGCCCGGCATTGTATATTGTGAAATCCGGAGTACCAAAATTCTCCAGCTCTTCAGGAGTGGGTCGTATACACCTGTCATTCACACGGAAAATTTAGGAATTCGTGAAATGGCCTCTGGATTTGAAAACATAATCATTCCTGGTAAGTGGTACTGGCAACTACTTACATGTTGTACATGAACAAAGAATGATAAGCTCTGGCAGACACAATTCGGACTTTGATCCGGTGTTCTGGGTCCCAGTTGAGAAATTGATCGTTCACAAAGACCTGAAATATAAGATTTGCATGTAACCGCTCATGTTCATTCAGTAAATTACCATCTTATAAAACTTGAGGATGATTTTGCATCCCTCTTGGATCCGTTTTATGCTTGGATTGATTAAGACTGACACAAATTCTAATGGGGTATCGGATACCCTTGAAGAAAGAAGACCTTTCAAGCCTATTGTAGCAAATGTAGCCACAGTATTAGTACCAAAGCATTCAGCAACTTAACAGTCTAATCACTTTTAGAAGGCAACAAACCCACTAGAATATACAGTCTCTCGAGTGAGAGGGGTTTGTGGCGAGCAACATCGGAGCTGTTACATGAGACATAAGGATGACGTTGACATCATTTTGGTTTAGATAATGAAGATAGAGCTCATGAGTCACGAACATAAACATTGGAGACTTGTATACTGAATATGACAGCACCATGACTTGACAACGAAAGAAAAGTTGGGGCTGGCAAGTAAACTGATTATTTATTTATTGTATAAAGAAAAGTTTGCTAAGTTTAGAAGTCAGACCACGAATTACGAAAAGTTCAAGTACGTACTAAGCAAATCTTGATTGAATCAATCAAACACTAAATAATTGAATTCTTAAAAAAATACAGGCTGTCCGGATCAGAAATTACGGAGGGATTGGAAGTAATGATATACCTTATCCAATGAGTTCAAATAATCAACAGCACGTTCTCTGTTCACTAAGAAAGTATGTTCGTCCATTTCAATATTAGGTGAACCTCTGTATAACGATACGTATTAATACAAGTTTTAAATAGAAACGAGTAAATTAGTAAAGGAATTGAGAGTGTAAACAGAACAACTCACTTTCCCCACCAAAGCTCATCTTCGGTGGTTTTGTCCTTAACCACACGCTTGTCTCTTGGCGAGCGGCCTGTCTTTGCACCGGATAATGTGGCAATAGCACCCGTAGATGTTATGAATGATCCTTTCTCGTACTTAATGGCTTGCTCGTAAAGTTCTGTTCCATACGTATCATCAAACTAACATTTTATTTGAGATTTGGTAATCATACGGGCATGTAAAATCCTCAGGGTGCAACACGAAGAGAAGTATTACCAGCAGGGGAGAGGTTGTACAGAATGTGAGTAAACTTGAGCGCACTGTCACTAATATTGGGTGTTGGAGTGTAATGGCTGGGAACAAGCGTCACCTTGTTGCTCTCTGATGCAGCCTTTCTTGCGGGGTCCCCTTTCACCACCTTTGGTCCAGTTTCTCTCGTTAAAGATGCCAATGAAGCACTAATTGAAAACATCAAAAAAAAAAAAAAGGAATATCAGTGAATATATACGTACCTACCGGGTCAAGGGGAGCATTAATTTGAAAGAATTTATACGTTATGGTTTATTTTTACCTTATGGACTGGAGTTGCTGCTTTTGGCGTTCCTCTTCGGAGATGGTGACAGAGAAAGGTCCCTCGGAGCCTTTGATGGGAGTGGTGGGTGCTGATCTCTTCTTCTGAAGAGAGTGAAGCTCGTCGATTGTCTGTGCCTTCACCGGAGGTGTACTGTCATCGTGACAAACTTGCGTTTCCTTCTTGATAGTTTGGATTTTGGGTAGCTGGTTGCGTCCACTTTCACCTTTACTCGCAAAACTGAACTCTCCGTTCTCTGACATCTTAACCTATAGGCCAAAACAAACATGAACCAAAAATTTGATGTCAATATACATGAAAAAGTATATAAAATGTATGTCAATGTCCAGTATCCACCATGCAATGCAAAAGAAATAAAATACATGAAAAATGAAAAGCCAAGTCCTCTTCACATGAAAAGTAGAAGAAAATATTTCAATAACGTGAACAATATGAAGATAATAACCTGAAACAAGTGACGTTGGTTTTGCAGATAATGGGAGGAAGTTATGCAATGAACCAAATATGAGCATTCACTTCTTATATAGGCTTTACTGCAAGCCCACCGAAGCTTAACTTGGGTTCAGTTAACCATAGTTGTGGAGTTTCTGTTATCTTATTAAATCCGGAAAGAGGAAATTTCCAAAATTTTAATTTAATTGAATAAGAGTGTCTCTCTTTATTTTAAATAGCATCTTTATTGATTTTTAAATATAAAGAACAAAATTTTTATTCAAATCCAATAGACTCTTTAAATTTTAGGAGAAAGAATATGTTTTTTCAAAAAGAAAACTTAATAGGAGAGATAAATCATAAATAAAATGCATTGAAACTTGCAATTTATTATTTAAAATTATGATAAAGAGTGAAATTTGACTCTCTAAATGTGGAGAGTCAAACTCACTTTTTAATTTATATTTAAAGAATAAAGAGTCTGTTAGACTCTTATTTCTATGGATAATAAAGAGTTTATAGTATCTCTAAATGACTCTTTATATGACTCAAACTCTTTATTATAAATAGTCTATCCATAAAAACAAGAGTCCAATAGACTTTTTATCTTTAAAATATAAATTAGAGATTGAGTTTGGCTCTCCATATTTAGAGAGTCAAATTTCACTCTCTATCCTAATTTTAATTAATCTGTTTGACTCTTATTTTTATGAATAAACTCTTTATAATAAAGAATTTAGGTTATATAAAAAGTCATTTGGAGATGCTATAACAGTCTCCCAAGTTATTGACGCCTATTGAAGTAGCACCGTTGGTGAATCACCGTTGGTGAATAACAGATATAGAGCACAAGTAATGAAGATCAATCACAATTTTCTAAAGTTATGACAGCATGGAAATTGTGACAATTGATCATTAAAGTCATATATGATATGGCACCGACGATTAAAATGAAGAAGAAGGCACCTTAAGTTCAGAAACTTAAATGGATAACGTAGATGAGTCATCCTCATAATAAGAAATATTCCACCTTTTAAAAGGGTCAAAAGAAAGCTGTAGTGCAACTACATGTAATACAGTTTATTTTTTAAAATAATATTTTATATAGAAGAACTTAATTGTAGGCAGCAAATCAGTTCTGACTTTGGGGATGTTTGAGAAAATTCAGAGGTGGACTGTATGAAAAATTTGTTAACGCTAAGATAACCACGTCAGATCCACATTTCTCTGTTGCTCCTTGGTTTCTTGACTGTGCACATCTGTGTGTCGGTGATGAGCCTCTTGAAGGCTGAGGTCCAAAAAGAACCTATTGGGTTAAGAGAATGGACTGACGTTGGGCCGAGTGAGTCCAGTTGAGCGCAATACCGAAAGATCAAACTATTGGGTCTGTAATGTATGAGGCTTCTGATTTGGCTTAGAATCATTTTCATTTGTGAATACACCAAGTCATACATAACAAAATTTAGTGTCCATCACCATCAGGATAACAACTTTTGATGATCAATTCTAACAAAGAATATTTAAGTTGGTGCATTAATATCAACAGGTTTCTTTCTTCCGATGATGTAATAATCAATTCTGAATGTTGGGAAAAAGTAGTGCACTTATCTTGGAATGCACCCTAATTCATGTACTAAAATGAAAAAGAAACTACTTTCAAGCTAAATCTTTCCACATTAGCTTAAACATGAGCATTATTACACACGTTTTGGACATATGTTTGGGCATGTGTTTCATTTCTTTATTTCATCGTATATTATAATCCCAATTAACTAATTAAAAGATTGCACGTGTAGGATTCTTAAGTCCAACGGCAAGACTACACATTTTTATTTTAATACATATTTATCATGTTGTAAATAAACCTAAACCAAATAGTTGAAGCTATTACAAACTGATGAAGAATTAATTGAAAATTACCTTGATTTTAATTATATTATTTCGTCATCCATAACTTACATATATAAAAATGCAACCATTCTTTGGCAATACGGTAAGACTGTCTATCTTAATTTGATTAAGACAATTGCTATTATACATCGCTCCAAATCTTAAACAATTTGTACTCTAAATAACCTATGCAACTTGCCTTATCCTTATTTTTCTTCATAAATAATAATACAATACTTAAACGACTGTAATTTAATATGTTCATTATATTAATCAATAATACTATACATCAAAAAACTCCGATCTTGTATGGTGTTGAGTTGTAAATGAAACAGTGATTTGGTGAAAGACTTAACAAATCATGTGTGTAGAATTACTCTATATTAATTTTATGTGTTGAGGTGAGGTTAGCCGGATATCCTAAAATGTGAGTATAGATGCTCTCCACGGGTTGGCATTAAAGTTGTGGCGAATGGAGAGCCTGCAATCTTAGAACCCAATCTCCATCACATATTGTCACTTCCCTCCTTATCTCTTTCTTCAATACCATCTTTGGACATGGCCCATTAGATCTTTTTCACAAGTGATCCGATAGATGACAGCGTGACACATTCCTGTTTTTAACTGCCAATATTTTACAAATCTCATTCTCCACACGGTAGAATTGGATGTGGACAAATTCAAGAATCATAAGGAACGTTGATGGTTCCATGCTCTTTGATGCCATTCATTTCATCATTGTCTACGTCATCAACAAACTATTGTAATCTGTAAAAATAATAATCCCATGTCGATGTACTAGTATATGTATCCAATAAAATCTTCTTCAGTTGGATCTTTCTTGCTCATATGAATTCGTTTAAATTCTTTTCTTCTTGAAGAATCATTTTATATGGAGAAAGGTCAGCTATTGTGAGTACCCTACATTTTTTTAAAGAACTGAAATTGAAATCAGAATCGACGATTTTAGAATTTAAACATATGTTATGGTTTAGGGTATACAAGTTAATATCAATTATCTTTTTATTTTTAAAAAATAATAAATATACCCCCCAAAAGTTACAAATACACCACTAACAATTAACAAAAATTACACTTTAATCCCGATTTCTATTCGGATACTCGAACCTCTTTTCCGATTCTTGTTCCAGTTCATATTCTTGGATTTTGTAGTGTTGGAATCAGAACCAAACACTAATAGAGTCGATTTTAATTCCTACCCGACACCTAACAAATGGGTATCCACTGATTTCAGTTCAACCCATTACCCATACGCACCCCTAATGTAGGGTCTGCTGAACTTAATTAATTAAAGTCTAACAATGGGGACAGTAAAAACGCAATTGGTCTAGTGCAGATTGAGTGTGGACCCAATCAAGATGACATTCAGAGAAGATAGGAAGAGAGTGTGGATAAAACGTGTGTTCCACCCGCCAATCAGATTTCAGAAACCAATTTAGAGAGATCACAATACAATTCCCACTTTGCCTAAGTCAATTATTTTGTACCGACCAAACCCCTCCGCCCAAATTTTTCATTAATTAACAAACCCAACCCAACCAAACACAAGTCTCTCCTCCTTCTGCCAAGATTCGTTCAACAAAGTCCTTAAAACCTTAAAACATTTTTATTTTAGGGTCAGGATTTTGTCTGAGCGTAAGAATCATGGCGTTTTCCACCGCTTTGGCCGGTTCTAAGATGGAATCTTTGTTGTTCAATCCCGGTTCTTCTTCTTCTTCTTCGTCTTGTTCTTTTTTGACGGGTCAACAAATACGCGTCCTCTGTAAACCCAATCGCAATGAGAAAAGATTTCAAAGGGCAGTTAAATGCGAAGTTACTGCCCCATCTGATGCCTCCACCATCTCCGCTCTCGAGCAGCTCAAAACCTCCGCGCCTGACCGTAAGTTTTGCTTCTTTTCTTTTTTTGGTTATTTTTAAATTTTTTTTCTGGTACTAAATTAGTAATTTCATCTTTAATTGCGCTATTTGGATGAATGCATTGCTTGAAGTTGATGGTTTTTGTGTTTTGATTGTATAAGAGTTTGAATTAGCAATACTAAGCATCTTTTTTTGCTTAATTTTTTGGATCCTTGAGTGATTTCTATTTAATTACCCTTAAGATAAGGGTGTATATTATAGTTTTTCTTTTTTCTTTTATCTTTTTTCAATTCAACGTGGGCATTAAAAGGCTCAATTAGTGTTGGTTTCCGCATGAAAGTTGAGGTCTCAATTACTGTGATTTTGTTAGTTAAAATTGGGTAAAAGGTTGCTGTTTGATTACAGGTATTAACCTTTTGAAATCGCAATGAACTAGTTGTTTGTGGTTGTCTATTGTTATGAATTATTATTTACTCGCCTTAGATTCAATGCTTTGAATTATGGGGGAAAAAAGAAAATATTCATCACCTATGATTCTGTTATATAATAGTTTCTAGTGAGGTTTACCTGGTTGTTATGTTGGAGTAACTGGAGTCCATGATAAATCTATTACCCCTTACTAGATATTCAGGGTAACACTGATCACCATGAAGTTTACAGAGTTTTGTTGTGCTTTCGGCAAGGTACTCAGTCACTGATTTACTGAAACTTTTATGTTTGATCTCTCTTAGGATATACAAAGGAAAGGAGCAGCATTGTGGTTATTGGGCTTAGCGTTCACACTACACCTGTTGAGATGCGTGAAAAACTTGCCATTCCAGAAGCAGAATGGCCACGAGCGATTGGGGAGTTGTGTAACCTAAATCATATAGAAGAGGCTGCTGTTCTTAGCACCTGCAACCGGATGGAGATATATGTTGTAGCTCTTTCTCAACATCGTGGGGTTAAAGAAGTGACTGAATGGATGTCAAAGGTGAATTTTGTTCTCCTTTATGATTCCACGTTTGTTTGTCTTCCATAAGAAAAATCTTTCTTTTTGCAAGTTGTAGATTAATACGATAATAATGATAATAATCTGGCATAAAGGACCTTGATTTACTCTTCAAAAGTTAGTACCATCTTTCTGTATTACTCTTCAGCCTATGTTGTAGGTTAACTTCATCTACTTTCTTAAAATTGGTTTCCTGGATTAACTTTATTAAGAGAATTTTGAAATTGCTAAAGCTGTTATACTAATATTGTATCCATTGACAGACAAGTGGGATCCCAGTCTCTGAGCTTTGCCAGCACCGGTTTTTGCTGCACAACAAAGATGCTACCCAGCATCTTTTTGAGGTGTCAGCAGGTCTTGACTCTCTTGTGCTAGGAGAAGGACAAATCCTTGCTCAAGTTAAACAAGTTGTCAAAGTTGGGCAAGGAGTTGTTGGATTTGGAAGGAACATCAGTGGACTGTTCAAGCATGCAATCACTGTTGGAAAGCGGGTTAGAGCAGAGACAAACATTGCTGCTGGGGCTGTTTCTGTCAGCTCAGCCGCGGTTGAACTGGCATTAATGAAGCTTCCTGAATCTTCACATGCCACAGCTCGCATGTTGGTTATTGGAGCTGGCAAGATGGGGAAGCTTGTGATAAAACACTTGGTAGCAAAAGGATGCACTAAGATGGTGGTTGTTAACAGATCTGAGGAGAGAGTTGCTGCTATCCATGAGGAGATGAAAGGTGCTGAGATAATTTACAAACCTCTCTCAGAAATGCTAACCTGTGCTGCTGAAGCTGATGTGGTCTTCACCAGCACAGCATCAGAAACTCCATTATTCTTAAAAGAGAACGTTGCAGACCTTCCGGTTGTTGATCCTGCATTTGGGGGTTTGAGGCTGTTTATTGATATCTCCGTTCCTCGTAATGTTGGCTCATGTGTTGAAGATGTTGAAACTGCAAGAGTCTACAATGTTGATGACCTTAAGGAAGTTGTGGCTGCTAATAAAGAGGACCGACTCCGCAAAGCTATGGAAGCTCAAGCCATTATCGGCGAGGAATCAAAACAGTTTGAAGCTTGGAGGGATTCGTTGGAGACTGTTCCTACCATCAAGAAGTTGAGGGCTTATGCAGAAAGAATCAGAATGGCGGAGCTAGAGAAATGCCTATCAAAGATGGGTGATGATATCTCAAAGAAATCAAGGAGGGCAGTAGATGATCTTAGCCGTGGTATTGTGAATAAGCTTCTTCATGGTCCAATGCAGCACCTAAGATGCGATGGGAGTGACAGCCGGACTCTTGATGAAACCCTTGAGAATATGCATGCTCTTAACAGAATGTTCGGCCTTGAAACAGATACATCTCTGTTTGAGCAGAAGATTCGAGCCAAGATAGAACAAACCCAAAAGTAAGCTTCAATACAAGCTTGTTGATGACACTTCATTCACTTCCCCAAAATTGAATAAGAGGAAAACATCCTCGTCTTGCTCCGAGTGTCGACACTGCTGTAATCTTCATTTGAAAAGCGTAACGGTGTAGATCCTGTTTGGGATCTTTTTAATTCGTTTATTGGTGTATGACGCTGTTGCCTAACTCTAATTCGAGTGCTTCATGTGTCTACATTGTGTTGATTAGTGATCATTTAGCGTTTTAGGATAGAAATGAGCTTGATCCTTGTACCGGTTTCTTCTCTAGAATTTATGGTCTGTAAGGATACTATAAATCCGTGTAATTAATCTACTCATTTTATGTAGAGATGATCTTTTGTTATAAATTTCTTTAGTGCGATTATTTGGTCTATTCCTGAAATTAAACCAGCGTAGTATCATTGCTTTAATACAGTCAGTAACCAATTTCATCCTTCCCCGCTGTTTCCTTTCAAGTTAAGAGTGTTTTCTTTAACCTTATCTCTTTGTATTGCAAGCCCAACCCAGCCCAAAGTGAGACTCAATGGCAGTGGCAGACCCAGACCATAAGCATTTTTCAACTATGAGACAGCTAAGTAAAGGTTCTGAAATTATAGAAAAGCCCATGAGCGTCCCAACTGGTGAGCGGAGAGCAGAGCAAACCTATCACTAGGCAAAAGACTCGCATCAATGTGCACTTTGGTTCATCATTAAAATCAAAACAAGATTCAAAGTTTTAATCTAGGCAAAAATTAGAGACATATAGTTTGGTTTGGTTCACCACCATTATTGATGAGAGACGCANTAAGTTAAGAGTGTTTTCCTCAACCTTATGTCTTTGTATAGCAAGCCCAACCCAGCCCAAAGTGACACTCAATGGCAGTGGTAGGCCCAGACCATAAGCATCTTTTCAACTATGAGACAGCTAAGTAAAGGTTCTGAAATTATAGAAAAGCCCATGAGCGTCCCAACTGGTGAGCGGAGAGCAGAGCAAACCTATCACTAGGCAAAAGACTCGCATCAATGTGCACTTTGGTTCATCATTAAAATCAAAACAAGATTCAAAGTTTTAATCTAGGCAAAAATTAGAGACATATAGTTTGGTTTGGTTCACCACCATTATTGATGAGAGACGCAAGGAATAACTCGACCATGAAATAATCTGCAAACTGGTCCTACAACTCATCAGGACAAACAAAAGTATATTATACAGCTGGGAATCCAAAGACAAGAAGTACATGGTACTGTTTTTGGGTTTTTTATAAACCACCAGCCTGCACTGTGTTGTGGATGATTATAAAGTTAAAACAGTCATTGGGTCCGCGATGCTACGGTATGTTCGTCATTTTGTCCTCACTTTCAATGTCATCAACCTTCAACCAACAACTATTGTGCCTTCAAGAGGAGGGAGAAGCCTACTTCCCATATACAAACGGCGTAGAGAACTAGAGATAGCATGTTTTGTCGTCTGTAATAAGTTTGCAGACAATTGTGATTGGGAAGCTTGATTAGAGCATTTGAACTGTTTCCTGTGCAGCAACCACTGAGATCTTATAATAAAGGTTCTAGAAGCCTAAATATAAAATTTCTGAAGATGAGGATCTTATTTATGATTTTTAGAATATAGGGGCACTCTCTTCATGGTCAATTTCTCATCCTAATTCATAATCGCTACTAAGGTTTGTAGCATGGGATCTCCCCATATTGTAGGACTGAGAAATATAGGAATCTCTTGGGACTAACATATATGACCTGAAACTGAGAACATTAATATCTTCTTTCTCTCACTTTCCCTAGAAAGTCTTGAAGAGTAATCTTCCAAGAAACACTCAAAAGTAAATAAGTACTCTACTAGTTCTTGGTTTTAACAAAAATCACCAAGCTTATAATGATGATCATATACGATGCAAGTGCAACCAAGCACACACACAAAAGTAAAGTGAAACAAAATCAACTTGAGCAAACGTGTTGTTAAAGTGATGCAAACGTGGAATATGCGGCTCCTCACATGTGGAGAAGTGAGAAATCAAGTCTGTGTGATTGTGTTGTTGTTTCTAGTATACCAAAACCAAAGCAGAAGAGAACATTGATGGGAATTCGGTGGTCCCTAATTTCCNTACTCTACTAGTTCTTGGTTTTAACAAAAATCACCAAGCTTATAGTGATGATCATATACTATGCAAGTGCACACACACACACACAAAATTAACTTGAGCAAACGTGTTGTTAAAGTGATGCAAACGTGGAATATGCGGCTCCCCACATGTGGAGAAGTGAGAAATCAAGTCTGTGTGATTGTGTTGTTGTTTCTAGTATACCAAAACCAAAGCAGAAGAGAACATTGATGGGAATTCGGTGGTCCCTAATTCCCCATATCACATCTACGTCTGTATCGTTATGTTTGATGCTTTGGCCGTTCAATCCCCACCGTCGGTTGGTGAGTCTGATTGATGACTGCCCTTTTATGGACCACGGACTGAGAGACATGGACCAGACTATGAACTGGTTTTAATTATAGAATTCATGCGCAGGCAGTGGGAGAGAGCTGTATGTGTTGTTTGTACCCTTACAAAGAATTTGCTCAAATAATGCCTGATGCTTACAGTGCCAAGACAATAACCTATCAGACCAAATGCTGATTGATTCCACTTCACTTTGGGCCAATTTGCATGTATCTATCTAATCTCCTAAGATTCTAAAATTGATAGTTGGGTAAATCCCGATAATGATCACCCTTATTAGTAATCAAAATAGATTAAATTCAAGACCTTTTAAATAATACATTTAAGAGTCTTAATTAATTAAACTCTTAATTAATTAATAATAGGACTAAGGTTGATCTTATACATCATTATTGCTTTACACGTTAATAAGTGGCAGCATTATCTCAAATTATAACTTGGCACTTAGTCCCATCATTGCAGTCTTAAGAGTTGATAGCTTGGTCATAATTTTAGAATCAAAGGCAGATATGAAAAGAAGATCTGATATGATGACAACAAATGATTCAATCATCGTATCATAGTAACACCCAATCATTTTGTCCTAGTTTTTACTAGCCCATTACAGCCCATCCCAAATTATAATTAAAAAAACTCCATTACACTAGCATTAATTACAGGTCTTTTTAAAGTTGATGATGATGATAATGATAATGATAAATCCCTACAAAGAAAATGGAGTCTGTTTTGGAGTTGGAAATTTAAAACCACAAGACAAAAACACAAAGCTTAATACATCAACTACTACCCAATCAAATAAGCGTGGGCCTAATTTTATCCTCTAGGCAGAAAGGCCCGCGCCGTCTGCTACCAACTTGTCCCTACTATTGTATTCCTGCGCCATCTCCAATATTTTTTTTTTTTTTTTTTTTTTTTTTTTTTTTATATATATAAATTTCTTCAATTTATGATAAAATTAGAATCTAGCGTTTTCGAAGCCGTGCAAATCGCTGACTCTATTCATCGACTTCTTCATCATAGCTACCTTAGCCAGCTTCTCAGCTGCTCTCCAAGCCGAAGTCGGCGTAAGCGGCTCCCCATTTTCGTCCGTCACAACCATCACTTCCCTCTCGCCCCCTCTTCGCCTTTGCATCATCATCATTTGTTGTTGCTGTTGCTGCTGCTCTAAGAGATACTGTCTCCTCCAATGCAATTCTGCCAATTCCGCTTCCAACCCTTTCACATAATCGTCAGCCGATTCTGCGCTGGAGTGTATTAAAAGAGCTCGAGCCGACGCTAGCAAATGATGTGCGCTGGTGAAATCGTTGTGCTCAATTAACCTTCGTGACTCGGCTATGGCTCTTGTACTGATAAATAGATTTCTCAACCGTTCGATTTTCGGTGCTGATGATCTAGCAGCGTGCGGGCAGGGTACCAAAAGCGCTTGATCCGCGCCGTATACGACCTCTTGAGTGGCGGGGTCTTTGTAAAGACACTTCACTGACATCACGTGGTGGGATCCAATCGCCGGTGTGGGGACTCTTAACTCCACCAGTAACTCCCTTTCTTCTTCGGCGTATAAATCTCCAAGCCGTACTGAGCCTGAGCTGAGGATAGTCGGCTTTCCACTACATGAATAAACAGCTGCAATCTCAGCTGGAGCCGAGCCAGAGGCGAAATTGAGCTGGATTCTTAAATCTTGTACGACCACGCTTAATAACCCGCCAACGCATTTAGCAAAAGCGTCCGCGGCTGGCTCCTGGCTGTAGCCGCCGCTTTGACCAAAACCAAATGAATGAACTGGGATCTCAATGTGAGAGAAACGTGTAGAGGACGCGTGGCTTCCTCCTCGCCGTTGATTAGAAGAATTAACCTGGACTCTCTCATCGTGACCGTCGGATAATAACATGATACTTGCAACTGGATTTCTCTCTCTCCGATCTTCGAGCACCTTAGCAGCTTTCCTCAAAGCATCACCCACGCTATTCCCTTGACCACAAACGAGCCGGTCAACGATGCGCCGCGCAGCGCGCTGACCCTGAGCCGTCATTCTCCTCAAAGGCAACAACCTCTTAGGACTTGCAGAAAAGGCCACAATAGAAAGCCGATCAGCCGAGCCGAGAGAAGAAATAACCAAACGCATGGCGCGTTTTAACATTTGTAACTTGGCTCCAGTCATGCTACCACTCACGTCAAGTACAGTCACCAAATCGATAGGCGCACGATACGACGCCGTGTTGTTGCTTTTAACGATTGGTGACGGAGGTGGTGCTTTCACTCTTAATGCCACTGCATAAGTCTCATAATTTCTACCAACAGAGATGACAGCAGATTCTGGTAACAGTCTAATCTGAACGTGTCTCGAATCTCTGCCGTAAAATTGAACTTGGTCGGATTTGAGTGAGGATGAAGAGTTTGAATTAACGAAAAAGCCCTGAAACTCTTCAACATCATCTTCCTCCTCTTGGACATTCTCATCTGCCTCAGGTATGGGAATGAAACGAACACCTCCAGCAGTCGGAGATATCAATGGCTCGTCGTCATCGTAGGATCTTGAATCTGGTCTTGGTTCTTGTTTGAAGGTTTTAACAAGTCTGGGAGAAGATTCAATTATCTTCTTTTCATCTATTTTAGTCTTGATGATGTTGTCGTGTGAGTCGGTGTGGTTTAGGTGGAGGTTTTCTACGGCGCCGAGATTTTTGTGGACGGAGAGTAAAGGAACGTCTTTCCAGGTGGTGTTGCAGACGGGGCAAACGAGACTGCCATGCTTTCGCACGTGGGAGGCTATGCACGGGAAGTGAAAGGCGTGTGAGCATTCTGCTGTGTAGATGGCTGTGCCCTGACCTGTCTTCACGCTGTTCAAACAGATTCCACAGCTACTCTGCAACAAAAAGTCAAACTTCATTATTATTACTCTAGCCGATCTAAGAACTACTAAACATCACTACTAAGATAAAATGTCAAAGCTTTTTGCTGTTAATTTTACTTACTCTGAACTTGAAGCTGTTCTTGAAGAGAGATAACTTGAGAGGAGATCGAGGAGAGGATGGGTTAGAACCCTGTAATGGTTTGGGACTCTTGGTTGATTTGGGTGTGGTTTTGCATTGGAGTCTAGGGCTCTCATTTGTAGAAGGCGCTTCAAGAGTAGCAGTCCGGCAACGCAAGCTGGGGCTTGAGACTGGTTGAGACTGCAAGCGAGGAGTAGAAGGGTTGCTACTACCGGTAAAAAAACCTAACTTTGTACAACTTCTGGGGCTTGGACTAGTACTAGGACTAACAACTTGTTGTTGCTTATCTGAAACTGTGGCGATTTCTGAATCTCGAGGGATCGTTGTGCAGAAAGCTCTTCTCCAACCAGTGCCCATTTTCAAAAAACCAAAAGATATTAACCAAAGAACACTCTTTTTTCTCTTTTCTTATGTATATATATCTAAATACCACCCAAACTTAATTTGTTTTTTTATCTTTTGGTAGAGATGATGAAGATAAAGATAAAAGAAAGAAAGAACAAAGAAGTTTTGTTTTGATCGATCTGAGACTCCACAGAAGACAAAATGGTAAGATCGAGTTGAGCTATACTAGCAGCATGGGATCAAACGAAATAAAAGCAAAGAGACAAAGTAATGTGATTATTAAGATAGAAAGAAAACTTGAGACTCATGCCCTTCTCTTCCAGCTCTATTGCTCTCATTCCCTTTTTTATTCATCACTTTTGAATATTGCTCTCACTGACTAGATAGCCCCAAAAAGATCTCCGCAACCAAAACTCTTTTTGATCTACTGCCTCTCTCCCTTTCTATTTCTTTCTTTTTCTCTGTGTGTTATATTATAAGAGAGTGAAGGCCTTTCTTAAACTCGATATATATTTGTTGGAAAAGTTATTTCAGAATTTTAACCGAGTTACCGGCACGTGTGTTGTGTTGTATGATTTTACACTACCGGTCAACGGCCGGGGCTCTCTCTCTCCATATATACAGCACGAGCACGTTATGGCCACCGACCAATGAACGGATTCATGGCAATGATCACCATCCCATTCCCATAAATGCTCCATGCTCTTCACGCGCCAAACGCACAACTCTATATCATACAAACTAGGTGTCAATGTTATTACACAGCAAATGGCACGTGTTCATCACTCTCGTACGTTGCAACTGGATTCTGAGACTGCTTTGTTGGACTTCTCTGTTATTCAAGCATCATTCATATATGTTTGATACTCAAAGAGCAATCATCCTGTACAGCGCACATTAATAGGTTTTCCTTTGCTTCAGCTTATAATAGCCATTGATAAGGCTGTATAATTGAAGTAAGATATGATTGCTTCATCTTATAAAAAGGACCTAAATATATGATTAGTTTATTTCAAAAAAATGACGTATCTGAAGTGGGATCATAAGGGCTGCATTGGTGCGGGTCTCTATAGGATTAAAATTATACATAGGTAGTTAGCACGTATCAAGTTTCCATGCAATCGTAAAATCAGAGGAGTAGGAACCTAGGATGCAGGCTATAAAGTTGTACGTAAAAATATATAAATATATATATAAATATATAATTTGAAAATTAATTAAAAAGTAAAAACCTTGATGTCAGGTTACAGCTTTGCATATCTTGGATATTAATAACCGTATCACTGTAGAAAGTGAAAACTTTAATTAATTACAATTTAAAGAGTCACAAATGGCACCTCACCCCAGCTATGGGCTCAGACACTCACATGTTGCCTCCCTTAAAGGAGTGTCAGTAAATTCGGAGACCATTTTCTAGGCATTACATTGAGGCTCCTTTCGCTTCTTTTGTATTTTGTTCTACCATTTCCGTATTCCATCCACGTCAAAATCTTATCTTAGGACTTTCTGGCTCTTCCTTTTCATCAATTATTCACCCCGCCTACGGCCCTGCCTCTGCCATCTTACAAATTTTAATTGTGTACATAATAATATTCACCTGCCAGGCTGCCCCCTGTTTGTTTTCATATTCCCCCACCATCTCATTCTCACCTGCCCCTTTATTTCATTTCCTTCCATGGGTACATAGTAAACCTTTTTATCCTAAATAATTTCTTGTTTTATAATATTACAACTGTGTATGTGTTTTCGTCCTGTATCTGCATTCTGCAGGGAGCCTCCGGTCACAGTAAATAACTTATTAAAGTTAGCAACACTCCCTAAGTAATAAAAATTTGGTACCTTCCCGAAAAGAGAGCGGTACCATCACATTCACAGGGTGACTTGACAGACACCCCACAGTCAAGACCGAGAGGAGCCTTTACCCTCCCTTCGCGATTGTCACACCAACAGTCAATAATTCCGACACTCACGTGGGGCCCTTTTTCAAGGTCCCTCCGTCCATCTAAATTATTATTATTTTATCTAACGCCGTTTAATTGTTTGCTGACGTTTTTCAGTCATAGGGAAACTCAACTGCTGAACTGGGTTTTGACAATTGTCAAATCCTTCCTTTAATAAAGTATGATTTCACTCTTAACCTAATCATTTTTTTAATTAAGAGTTAGGCATTCTAAAGTAACTTTTTACATTATTTTTTTATGATTTAGTTTTCACTTACGTGTGGAAAACTATAAGCTAGGTTTTTAACTTTTAACTGCTTTTTTTGGATGGGCTACATGGTTAGGCTAAGTGAATGTTTAACCAATAACGTACTATGCTTAAGTTTCCGGGGACAACACTCAAGCTCCTAAAACAAAATTCATTACATACTGGCGAAAATTAATGGAACAAATCGGTGTAGCAGTAGAACCATTTGCACATCAGTTGTTTTTTTTAAATCATCGGAGATATTCAAATCAATTTATATATATTTTAACTAATTTCTCAAGTACTATAGAATTATCGATCAGATAAAACCTCTAATGACTACCTTTATTAATGCTAGGGAAGACTCAAACTTAAGAGTTAATAGAAACTATAAAATTATCGATCAGATAAAAACTCTAATGACTACCCTTATTAATATTTGAAGAGACTCGAACTTAAGAGTTAATAGAACCTCCTTTACCGTTAGACCATTCTGTGATGATTGTACAACTGTTATTTCTTTCTTCTTTTATGGATATATATGATAGAGTAAATTATGCGATCAGTAATGTAAATATTATTCAGAACTTTGTATTAAAGGAGTTGTGTTATTTCTTTGTTTCGACAAAAAATATGTAAATTTAATTTGTTTTGACAGGTCAGTAGGTTTTCTTTTACAAATTGGGAGCTAGTTGATGAGATTATTAATCTATGGCTTTACATAGGGTGTGTATATATATATATAGTTTCTTAGGCCGCAGTACGTACATAGTGGATAACTGGATATAAGTAGCATATAATAAAATGGGACCACTCAAATTTAATAAACACATACAAGGTACAAGCGAACTTGTGCATGGCCATGGCACATTCAATTTCTCCATTTTTAGGATGGTAGCTACCTAGTGAAGTTACCATTTATTTTCCTGGTTCATTGATTTTGTTGTTTGATCTTGAAAAGTGGGTAGCTTTGGTATTATTATATATTAAAAACTGGAGGTAGTAATTAATGCAAGGAGGAGTTAGGTTTGTTTTTATGGTCCAAATTTGGTTCTAAGCATGATTCTTTTTTCCAAATTTACTTAATCTTGTCACGTTTAGATGTTGACTTCAAACATTTTTCATTTAAACTGCTCCCTTAACAAAGTAGGCTTACTTCTTTTTTATTATTAACTTGATTATATAGTTTAATTAATAGAAACATATGTTTGATAAAATTAATTAAAAAAATATATAAGACGTATAGCAAAACAGTACATAACTGTGAGTACCGAGGTAGTTCCGTCTTAATTACGGCGTATATAGCTTTCTGCGTGTGGAGCCCATTGGAAGAGCCACGGGGGCCTCAAGCAGGTCATGTGGGATGCTCCATGTCATCATCATACACATCCACGTGGCATCAAATTTATTGAATCAAACACAATAGTGTGATACTTCAACAGAAATCATGTCTCATGTTTATAAAAAATTTCCCTTTTTTCCATTTATAGTTTTAAATTTAAATGTGATTTAGACTTGAGAGGACCTACTGTTGTTACCAATTTAATTTAATTAAAAAAAAGAAAAGAAAAGATAACCAATGAAATGCTACCTTTGTTTCATTAAATTAATTTAATTTTTTTCTTATTAGGGGAAATAATTACTGGAGCCCAATGACAATTCTTCTGATTTTAATTCGGGTCCTACCATTTGGTTAGGTAAATGACCCATCTCTAACCGATGCTCATAGTACCCAAAATCTCATTATTCATGGACCATACCGTATAAATATTATAGACATAATTAATACAACAGGACAATACATAATCATTGAGCGCAAGTCGCATTTTCATTTTTTTTTTTTTTTTTGAGGCCTTAGAAGGAAATTCCAAAGTTTTAATTTGATTTTTGGTCTGACCATATGATTATTTTAATATTTTATGTAAAGAAAAATGAAATATTTTTGGTTAAGAAGTGACAGATGCATCTGTTTTTGGGCAATATGCATATCATCAACTACATTTTTTTATTAATATTTGAGTTAGAACTCTATATTATAAAATGAACTATATTCTCCATGAACGATAATAATAATGTAACTTGACCAAACCCCAGACAATGTTCTTGACCAACAGCAATAATAAATTTGGCATGGCATATGTTAGGATGAAACTTAAAATATATATATATATATACAGTATATATAATTTAATAAAAAGGATTAGTTATTGAAGATTTAGAATTTAGGAAAATGCCCATAAATCACATGACAAAACAGGACATCCCATATGGAAGAGATCCCATTATATTGCTTATTCCCAAGTTGCCTTTGTTAATGCTACCCATTTGACCATTTTTTAAATTGTAATTAACCCATCATTAACCAACTTTTATTGACTAATAATAGGCACCATTTATTCTGCGATCACCATGTGTCATGTGTATGTAACCATGATAAAATCTTCTTGAGTTTCTACTTTATTACTTAATTAAATGGTTATTATTTTAATGGAGGCCAAATCAGAAAAAGGGTATTAGAAAATTGAGATTAACTTAGATTTGATTATGTCATTAAATAGGATTAGAGAGAGACGACATTCTCCTTTCTCCACTTCTTCTGAAAACTATGTAAGCAATGCGCTGGCGATGGCATGGCCTTGTAATATGGACTATATTCTATTCCTATCTTCATTTCTTTTTTTAATCTTCCAAATTCGTACTTTTTTAAATAACAAAACCATTTATTTGGGTCTGCCAATCTGCCTTTACATCAAAAATTGAATCGTCCCAAAGCAAATACAAAGTATTGGAAATTAGATAGCAACAGTTAGGGTAGTAAATAATAAGAAAAGGATGGCAATGAATGGTAGGTGAAGTCACATGAATCTTAAATTAAAATTAAAATAAAAAAAAAGGGAAGCTTTGTGTGTAAATGAATAAGATTACCATAACTCCGATGGGTTGGCTTGGTGGTCAAGAAAGTATGTTTTTTTTCTTGACTTTCTAAGTTCAAACCTTGAGGGTATCTACCTCAATATATAATTATGTCTTACCTGATTTATTAGGTTTGAAGGGTATTCAATCGATTCCGATAATTAGTTAAGGTACACGTAAGTTGGCCTAGATACCCCGGTTAGCAAAAAAAAAAAAGATGATTATTATGAACCGCCATTGGATGACCGGATGGTAAAAGAGTTTCATGAGCTCTTGAGTTCGAGTCTCCCTAGGTACTAATAGAGGTGGCCATTTGGGTTCTTTCTCGATCGACAATTCTAGAGTCTCAAAGAATTAGTTGAGGTGCATGTAAGCTAGTTCAGATACCAATGATAAAAAAAAAAAAAAAATAAATAAAAAATTAGGATTACGATGGTGTATATAAAGAGAGAAAACGGTATTAATAAAAGTTGAATTGGAAGAAGAGTTAATAATGAATGGAATTAAACAAAGGTTGAGTTTGAGATGATGAGATGTTGCAATTAATGGGGCACATGTCATGAGCCAATAACTACTAGAATCTCTAACAACCATATATATTAATTAAATATCAGCATGACCAGCATGGCCTATTTATTTATATCTATACTCTCTCTTTTTCAAAATTGTTCTTTACAATCTATTGGTATTATTGGCCGTATCATCCCTTTCATAAACTGCTTTATGTATGTATTCACTAATTAATTACGAAATTTTTATTATTCATCTCAGTATTTATTAATATAACATATAATACTAAACTAAAGGATCACACCACTTTATGACATTATATAGAATAAGGTTAAGCTCTAACATACATTTAAAATTATTTACCCCAAGATTAAGAGTCTCAAATTGTTGCCTTTAGTCCATCATGTCAATAATACTATATCTAAATGGAGGTATTGAGGAGGTCAGATTAATTAATTTTCATCCAAGTATTGGTACAACGTCCCAATTAAGAATTGGATTTGTCTCTTGTAATATAAAATTTATTGGTACTAGGGTGTGTCAAAATGTCAATTCAATTCAAAAAATTTAACCAAATATAGAAAGCTTATAGTATTAAATGAGATAATGTCAAAAATCAAAAACAGAAAATGTGAGTTTTAACAACTGGCTGGCATGATGTACAATTAGTTAATAATAATTTTGATGGCCCATTCAGATTCTCTGGACACTGAAATGTAAGGACTCATCTGTGATTGAGGGTAGAGATTCCTCTTCTTCTTAATATTTGAAAGGTTGGTACAAAAACACGTACATTTTTGTGCCTTGATCAGAAAGAGAATTCTAGAGTATGCTTTACGTCTTCCTTTTGAACACCTTAAACAAAGCCACATTTGAATTTGAAGACGATAAAATCTGTTTCTGTAACTATCTTCATAACATTAAATGCTCTTATTTATTGTTGTAGGTCATGACTTTTGAGAGAAAATGGACCAAACCCAATTGCAGAAAAACACATAAATAATGCCAAAATTTGACTGTTTGATAATCTTTTAGACTAAGGGAAAAAGAAGTGGGAAATGATGGCCTAGTAATTGGGTGGCTTAAGGGTTTGTTGGCATTATAGACAGCTAAGTAAATCTCTTTAAATGATTTGGCAAAGACTATCGGAAAAACTTAAGTATAATTATCTTAAACTGACCAATAGAGATTCGCAACCTAAAGGGAACGAAAGAGATCGTTGTACTAGGAAAGTGCTTTTCACCTAAAACCATACTTTTGTTGGCATGCAACAGAATCTAAATATCTTCCTCACTTTTTTTACCATCTTTTATATGAATCTATCACTTTATTTCTTTCTTTTTCTGTTGCGTCTTCAATCTACTAACTGTTTTATATGGACTTGGCACCATTTATACGCCTTCTTTTTTCACGTTCAACACTTTTAAGCTGCCTTGACTAAAAAAAACAAGTCATGTGGAATGTTGTAATTCACTTTCACTCATTAATTTGCATTTTAAACACACATTTTTCTTCAAACATTCACATCATAGTGGCTCCGAAAGTTACCATGATGTACTCAACTCACTTGGAGCAGTGTAACGCACCTAAAATTTGCTTGTTTGAGCTTATTCCTAGGTTTCTGTTGGGCAAATTCGACAACCCTTATGGACTCTGTCTCTATGCCTTATAGCAGGAGAGTTACATATTACTGTTGATATAAAATATCTGATTATTATGTTGTGCTTAATATTTAGGGATAATAATCTCTTACTAAGTCAAAGCACCAATTATAGAAAGGTTATAGTTAGTGGGGTTACAATCATGGTAGACCTATAATTATACCTAACATGATTAACAACAACTCCCAACTATCTTCTAATCATACAATTACTTCCAAGAAAAAAATTAAATTATACCTAACATTATTAACAACAACTCCCAACTATCTCTATCATACAATTACTTCGAAGAAAAAATAAATTAATAATTAACTACACTGTGCCTGCACATGCCTCCCTTCTTATCTTCGTGTTTTTTTTTTTTTTTTATTATAATAGTTAATTATATATGATGATCATAGAACAATTCTTCCCATTATCAGTCTTTTCAACACATATTTATTAGAACATCTCCAACCCAATCTCAAAACACCAAAATGTGTGAAAAGTATGCTCCAACCCATCGGTGTAAGTGAGCAGATCCGCCAAATTTAACGTGACAGTTTGATACTATTCACTTAACTAATTTGATGTAACACCGTTCAAAAACTATATATATATATATTTTTTTGTTATTATATTATGTTAATTGATTAATATTTACAATATAAATTCATAATAATTATATAATTCAAAAAATGATAAAAAAATAAAAACAAAACTTATTCAATACAAACATTAACTACAATAACTCAAAATAAAATTTAACACTAATTTAAAAACACTAAAATTAAAAGAAAATACAACATAAATTAAAATAATAATTTAGTATTCTGATAGATTAGTTTTCGGTGGTTATTAATAAAAAGAAAGAGAAAGAGAATATTTTAAGGAATATTATTTTTAGTGTAATATTTGGTGTAACGAATTGAAGATGTAATAGTGAAATACACAAAAAATCACTCCAATTTGGTGTTTGCGGTTGGAGATGGTCTTATCAATTAATAGGGTGTTTTGAACTTCTGAGTTCTGATATCAATAGTCTAGAGCTGAGAGAGATGAAAATTTCTATGTATTCTTCTTGTTGAGTTGTTCCACAACACCAAATGAGGAAGCTTTTTAACTTTGCCATTCCTTGCTTGCTATATTTGCTGCAAGCTCTCTCTCTCACTCTCTCTGTGTAGCAGGAGGATAAATTCTCCTTTTACCCATGATTCGTTCAAAGGAATGGGGGCACTGATTGGAGGCAGGTCATGGGTTTTAATCCCTGTTGATATTCTTACAGAGATTGTCTCCATTCAATTTCACACATTGGATGAAGACACATTGATATGCTTAAGAAACATTAAAAAAAAAAAGGCATAAAAACATAATCCTAGAACTGCAGAAAAAGCAATTGCATGCATTCTACTTTATTCAAAATATATAAGTGATTGAAGTAAGAGAATCTGCTGGCCATCATGATATAATTAGCATGAAAAATAAATCAAAGGCAATCATGATATGTTGATTTCAGTATTATTTGGCTGAGCTTAAAGTTTGCAACAAGCGATACTGTACTGGAAGATAAAGGAGAAATCATAGGTTTGAAAAAGAAAGTCAAAAAGGCTAATCACATTTTATCATTAAATAAGACAAGTGGAATGAGGGACCCAAATGTGTTGAAATAATGTGTCATTTAATTATCAGTGACATGTTATTAGATGCCGGCATACATTTTCTCTTCGGCGTTCACATGCATTGATGTTGGATAAAATCTCTCCTACCTCTTAAACAAATTCATAATTTCTCTAGGACATATCAGAAATTTGACCAAAGACTCGACTCCAAAATGCCGCCCTCTTTGGAAACATGTAATATGTGCCCGAGGGTAATCAATCTGTTTGAGTGGTAATAAAAAGAGGATACCAACTTGTGGTGCGTGGCTGATATTTGTATCAAAACCTATCATAAAGAAAGAAAAGAGATCAAGCAGTTCCAACCCTAAACCCAGATGTGTATATTCAAATTAATGTACAGACAACTAATGCGAAATGGTTGTCTAAATCGTAAGTCCATGATTCTGCAATTGGTGACAAATAATATTTGCATTGAGGGTCATATATGATATCTCTGCCCAGTAACTAATTTTGGATGCCAAGAGAAACAATTGATGAACTAATGTTACATTCTAAACTAGTTTTTCACTTGCCCTATTATTTACCTGATTTAAGAGTCTAAATCTTTGAGAGAAAAATTCAAGGATTTTTACAGCATTCATGAAATTGATCTGGTTAGCCCCCAGTAACTGCCCTTTTTTAGACGAAGCCAAAGCAGAGATTATGCAGACAAGGTTCATTTGGCTTATTGCACATATAGCAGACAAATATTTTCAGTCGTACTCAATTCCATCATTTTCAATCCTTCCAAAATTAAAAAGATCATTTTCTCTTTGATTCTGGCGATATTTGTTTAGTAGTTGAAGCTTGCATTATTACGCTGCAACTAAAAGATTTGGCCTCACTGGGTATTCATTCATACTAACTAATAATTTTCCACGTGCATCATATGTAAATTAAAAGCCCCCAAAGAATTACATAAATTATTCAGAGCAAAGCACATCAATAATGCAGCCTAAAGTCTGTGGCATCACATGACTACTATCCGACAGCCATATCTAAATGACTGGCAATATCTAAATATTTAACCCCTACTCTTCAAGCCCACCACATGATTATACTTAATTATCTACAAGTTTACCTCATCTTTTGGTTTTCTTTGTCCACATGAATTCTGCCGATTATGATTGCAGATCACCCAAGTTATAACCAAATATTATTGACGAGATAACAAACGCATGGTCACATACAGAAGTTAACATACATGAGTTACAAACAACTTGAGTGATGTCTTTCACCATACAATACAAACACACACAATAGAAGTTCAACAAACAATGCACTTTACAAACTAAGGTACCTGTATGATAACAGGAACTTGTCCCAATCTTAGAGGTACTCCCAAATCCAAAGTCTAGGAGTTTTATAATTTGAATAGATCAGAACCACAGCTAAGAGAACATAAATACCTCACAACGAGAACATAAACATAGTAACATGATGAAGGAAGATGCTCATGATCACCTATCCAGTCCAGTACCCTTCCATTCTTCAACCTCCAAGAGGAATTTGGTTCATGCATGTGCTTTGATATCTTCTCCTGGAATTATTCATCTCAAGGACTGCTGGATGGATAGCGACAATCATGTCTAACAATAGCTAGTTTCTGTTTCTGCATTTCTCCATGGCCCTTGGTGCTACACAAAATTTTCCAAGAAAAATGAGCTCAACCAATTGAATCTCATAAAACATGATTATGGTGCATATATAAAATTAACACATGGACGTTCATTAAATAACCAATTAAAGTATGCTGATATGTGGAAGCCATAGTAGAACTTGTACCATGGGTCTCACAGTAAGATGATAACTGACACTTGAGTAGTTGGTAACAGAGATATAGCATTATATCACTATGAAGAAACATCATAGAAAAACTGAACAAAGAATTATAGAGCACCAATATTTTCATTTCAAAACTTTTAGAATCCTGCCATAAAATGCACAAAAAATACTCTTTTAAGTAAAGGAGTCAGATTAGAATTTCACTTGTAAAATAGAATGATCTGTATAGGTCCATTCAGTGTTATAATCTCAAAAAAAGCAACAAATCTGATAAAAAAAATAGAATTGTATACATTTATATTCTCACTATACAAAAACTAAAAACAACAATTGCACTAACTTGACATACAAGAGACACAAGGTCAAGCAATACATGGATAGATATGTGATGTTCAACCACATCAACCAGTTGACATTCTCAGAGGGAATGAGTTTAACAGCCAAGTAAATGTGTTACTTCTGAGATGGATGGAGGGAGCAATTATAATTTGTTTAAAATTCCATTTACTTGTCAGTTCTAATTTTCAGAGTAGTTGAATGTCACCCTGGACAATCCACATGTTAATTAACCATACAAAAACACTTAAAGTAATGTTTTTGATATCCAATTTATGAAGTTGGGACATCTTATTTAGTCTTCCTTTGAGTGGTGATCCTCAGAATGGCATGATTGAAAAGTTAATAATCTTGCTTGTCATGCATGTTGAGGACATTTCTGAAGAGATATTTAACTTTTGGTGCTTTTATACTCCAATATCTTATGAGGTGTCATGTTTGGTTTAAGTGGATAATGACCACGTAATATACATACCTAGGCCAATGGCATCGGAGCTCTTCATGATCCTCAGTCTCTTGCATGTATCTATAAACATCCTGAAATAAGTCCATAGATTGAATTAGACTACAGTGCAAGCTCAAATTCTAGCAATGTATAATAATAAGTTCAAAACCATAAATTTGAATATGGTTATGCATGGCCACAGACAAGAAGCCAAAGTTAGAATGACCAATCAAAAGAATGGTAACTATAGTCTTTTCACCATAAGTCAAAGTTGTTTTAATATAAGTGCAAAACCAATAGCTTCTCGGTAATACAGTTATTGTCTCTCCACTGATCCAGCAGATACTGTGTTACATAAATGTAACAAATCCACTATGCATCCATATACAAGATTCAACAGAGAGAGGAAAAAGGCATTCCGACATATGAAAGTCCAAAATAACATCTAAGGCAACTCAGCTTTGGTTCATCTAATAGGAGCTATGGTTAAATAACTTAAATTACGTGTTTCCTTCCTGATGCAAGTTGAAGGTCCTCATTGAATAACAGCTATAAACTTACCGGATGTTCAGTTAAAATTATGTTACTGCAAGCACGTGCAATGCTGTTACATCATATCCACCGCTTACGACAGTGCCAAAGTTTCTTATATGCCATAAATACAACTTTTTATACATCTTAACTGAGGGTTAAACAAAAATATTTAATTATCTACTTTCATCTCCCTGAGCCTTGGTTTGCAGGTTCTTAAAACAAGTTTTTTAATTTACAGACAACTAAAATAACCTATATATTATGGCTACAGTTGTATGGTGTACATAACTTCAGTCTTATGCATCACCTAGGTAAAATCCACTGACAAGCTTGATATAGTTTTGGCATATGCATATGATTTTCATTCATTCTAATTCTTATATATGGTGGTATATGCCACTACTGTCAGCTTCACATGTACTATCAAACTTGAAACTCTCCCATACTACAACATCAACTTTGCTTAAAGGCACCCAACATAATAACTAAAGATCTCATACAATCAATGTCAATGGCAAGTTGAATTATTCAAGGCGAGAAGAAATCAAGCACAAGCAAAACATTAAAGGAATTAGAACTTACTCCCATGGGACATCACCCACAAGCATCCAGTCCCCATCTTTGTCTTCATATGTAAGAACATATTCTGAGCAGTGGAGCAGATCCTTCAGCTTGCTCTCACTCAGCATCTCTCTACCAAGAGCTCCATGAGATCCATATTGGCCTAACATCACACAAAAACAGCAGTAACTGGATCCATGCAAACCAGAATGTGCATCTTTATGGAAATATCAGCTTGGCATGCATTAACCTATATTATTCCACCGATAAAATTCCAATATAAGATAGAATGTCTCAAAAAACTCACCAATGGTAAAACAGCTGAACATCTTCTCAAGGGCAGAAGACAATTCCTGGTATTTCGAGTAATTTTTCAAGTCTACTTTTCTCAAATAAGGAGCACCATCCATGCTGACCTTAACAAACAAAGCACCGGGCCCTGCTTTTCCATCTACTTCGTCAGTGTTCTTTGAAGGGGTAGCCAATGAGTTCTTTCTAAATGATCTAATTGGAGGCCAACCCACAACCTGTGCTCTGCCAAAGAACAAGATTGCAGATTAATATTACGTCATACATAAGCCTCAACCAGTCAAAAAATCCTAGTTTGCACTTACTTTGGAGCAGGTGCACTGCCATTGTTGTTTGCAGAGCCATTATGGTTTGTTCTAGTTTCACTGGCAACATGAGGTCTTTCCTGCACTGCTTTCTGGGTTGCCATCTCTTTTGCTTTGGCTGGTTGAGCCCCGAGGTTCTCTAGCATAGAACCTGGCTTTAGTCCCAAGTTTGGAGCAGGCCTGGGTGACAATAGCTCAGAATTAGAAAGATATTTCCCCTGCAACACAGATTGAATAATTCCTAAGTCAGAAATCACGAGGGAAAACTTCCAATGCCCTGTAGAAAATGCTAATTTTATTCTTTTACCTCTGAGAACCCATCCATAACATCAGAGAATCCTCTTTTGTTGCCGGAAACAACATTCTTCTGTGATGTATAGTGACTATCATTTGTAGGATGCAACGGAAAAAGAGCCTTCTCATCGAGTTGTGTAGAACTTAATAGACAAAGTTCTGGATCTCTCTCAGGAGACTGAGACCCAGGAAGTCCAAGCCTTAGCTCTGTAGCCTTCAGATTCAGCCTCGTTTTGCTCTCATCAGAGACGCTGGAGACCACTGAGCTGTCCACTGAAGAACAATCAGATAATCCCATGTAGTTACGCTCTTTTAATTCTGAGCCGTTCTGGCATATGCTTTCCATGGAGGTTGAAGAAGGTAGTAAAGCGACATTTCCTGGACCTCCTTCCTCCCCAGCACCAAGTAGTGGTGGAGACATCAAAGTTCGAAACCAGAAACACTCAAATTTTTGGTACCCTGCTTAATCTAAGAATAAAAAAGTTCTTCAGGAAACAAAAACCCACCAAAAATCACCCTACACAGTTGGAAAACTAAAGAAGTTATATCCAAAAACATAAAAAATCAGAATCTTAAATTGAACGACACAGAAATAAAGAGAAATACATTCCTTCCTCTTTTTTGTTGATGGAAAAGACTTGAATCTAAGAGCAATACAATTCAATAACAGCTGGCTAAGCAAACAATTCAACATACATTAAATATACTAAAACATTCCTTCGATCACAAATTATGCTGTGTGTTGTTCCAAAGAGAATATGCTAAAAGCAACAAGATCAAAACTGATACCATGGTACAAAGTTGATAGATCCATGGGCTCAAACAGTAGCCCAAGTATAGCCTAATTTGAAACTTTTACCATTTCTGCTTTGTTTTAACAACAACAAAAATCTGACAGAAGATATATATTTCTGTTTGTATAAAGGAAAAATGATAATATATAATCGCTAGTGATTCAGTTTGCTGTAACTGTACCAAATAAAAATACGACGATCACAAAATATAAATACAAATATAAACTGTGAAGCTTTGGAAGTCAAACAGTAGCTTAAAAATGGCGTAAGAACAAAGTTAAGCAATATACGTGCTTACTGCTTACATATCAAGAGATCCAAATCCCTTTGGCTAATCAAATCTTTGCATAAATACTGATAAAAATCTCGAAATGAAACTACAAAATAATTAACAAAGAACCTTTAGACTTCAGCAAAACAAACAGGGTTCAACTACAAGCAATTACAACCAGTGTTGCTAAAATTAATTAAATGCAGGAAAAGTACAGCAACAAACGCATATACACTTAAAAAAAAAATACATGGAGTATGTATAGGTGTGTTCGATAGCTGGAAAGTGCGGGAAAGTTTTGAAAAAAGAATAAAAATAAAAATGTCTAATCGTACTTAGGCAAAATCATATTTTACTATTTTAGAGTACATTGAAGTAGAAAAACTTTACTCATGCCGCCGTATCGTTCAGTTCAAGCTGAACTGAACCTTTTTTTCACTGTACGGAAACCAGTAACCCCAACATAAACCCATAACATCCACACATTTAATTTCTCTTACGTTTTCTCCAGCAACAAACAAAAACACAAAGCATGAAGTGAAAAGCAAGAAATAAGCAAGAAGAGAAGCACCGAGAAATAGACTGAAAAAATAACAAGAGCAAACCAGTGACACAGCAATAAATCCTTGGAAGCGAGAAGCTAAGACAGTAAAGTGAAAAAGATTTACCTAGTTAAATCTTATGGATCAGTTGCTGAAGAATCAGTAAGTAGTAGTTGAAGAAGAAGAAGAGAATCGATTTAGCAGAGAAGAGAAAGTTGAGAAAGAGGGAGAGAAGAAGAGAGAGAGAGAGTGTGTGTGTGTAAGACAGTAAGAGGCTAAGGACCCTCCATTTGGCACAGGGTAACAAAAGCTTTGCTGATGTGAAACTCTATGCATTAAAATATACCCCTTTAAAAAATGTGTCATTTTTCTTATAAAAAACACTCTGTCTTTTGTATTTGTTTATTNGAATCAGTAAGTAGTAGTTGAAGAAGAAGAAGAGAATCGATTTAGCAGAGAAGAGAAAGTTGAGAAAGAGGGAGAGAAGAAGAGAGAGAGAGAGTGTGTGTGTGTAAGACAGTAAGAGGCTAAGGACCCTCCATTTGGCACAGAGTAACAAGAGCTTTGCTGATGTGAAACTCTATGCATTAAAATATACCACTTTAAAAAATGTGTCATTTTTCTTATAAAAAACACTCTGTCTTTTGTATTTGTTTATTTAATTCAATAATCCGCCGAACAAAAACACTTATCAATGCCTTATGATTTCTTTTGGTTAGTCTAATGCACGCCGTTCGATCTTTAGAAAGTTTGATGAAAGTGACACTGTAGGTAAGTGATTGATTTCTTATTGTCCCTACCAAAAATGAACTGATACTTATCTAATCACTTTAGAATGCAGAATTAAATGTGCATAATTGACATTAGTGTTTCATGAAGTGTGCATTCACATCAGTATCACACGCATCAACTTTTTCAGTTTTCATGTCGTTTCAAGAAACCTAATTTCCTTCAGTTGGTTAGTGTTCCCGTTGTTTAATTATCCAAATCGTACTTAAACTAGCATCTATCTTATACAATTCAACTCATGTGAAATGCATTTCTCGTAATTTTACAAGTCAATCTGTAAGAAATCTGACAACAGAGGAAAGATCCCCGTGTCAATGAGGTGAAATGAGCAGGTTTTGATGTGAGATTTGAAAAATTAAAATAAAATGAATGGGCCAGATGCTATCATGTCATGCCAATAAACGATTGAAGCACGGGTTACATATTGATGTGTGTCCACCCTGGGCTCACAGTGGCAAAATTGTCTTTTAACTGATCATCCTAATCCGTCAATCAAAACTAGCACGTGTCCAAATCACTGCCCTTGAGTGTCGTTTTCGTAACTTAAGTTTTTTAAGATAAGTTGATAAGATTCGTGAGATGTCCTAAACTTTGTGGGCAGTGATTCCAATTCCCTCGTGAGAATGTGTTTGCTTAATTAAATGACCAATTTACCCGCAATTAGACTTGTTTGACTTAATTACAAAAATATTATCATTTATCCCATATAATCATGATGATACCCATTTCTTTAATTTTTTTATTATTGCCAAGAAACAATAATTATCAAAAACAAGTATTGTTTAACCAAATATAACAAATTCAACTACTCCACTCATTACTCTTCTATTTTAACACTAAGATTCCTTCCTCCATTGCCCCCATGTTACATGCAAATGGATTCATTTTTATTCCCTAAACACCCTCCACTCACTCCAACGGATCCCACCAACTGCATTCACATGGTCTCTAGGTCCTAATGGGGTCCACTATTTCCACACAAAGGGCATATTAGTAAATTCAGCCCACATAATTTTCGTCCAAATAGTTTCATTTCATTATTTGATACATAATAAAAGGGTTTTATTTTTTATTTAAAGAGAGAGAGAGAGAGAGAGAGAGAAAAGATAGAGTGTAAGTTACGTAGAGAGCATTAAGTGTGGGGTGGGGTTGAGAGGAGACAAAGAAAAACAGATTGAAGAGATATGATGTGTTGGGGGACAGGAAAGCGGCTTTTAGTTTTGGATTGCCGGCTACAGAACGAGACATATAACTTCCTTCACTATCACCTTTTCTCACGCGACCCACTACTTCTTGTATTCCACTTTCCCATCACTAACCACATTCTCCCATTTTATTACTTTTTTTTTTTGCCATTTAAAAAAAAAAATTATACCATTTACGGATTGATAAGATAGGATCTTAATTTTCCACCCTTGGTATCCAATTTATTCTAGTTTTCCACAATCTTGAAAATAGAGGAAGTTGGGTCCCAAATATTTTTTTAAGAGGAGAGTAGTCATGGTGATGAGAAAGTTTGATGCACGCGCGTTGATCCCCTGTGTGGGTGAGGATTTAATTGAGATATTTATGTGATTTTTTTTTAAAGCAAGGGTGGAGATTTATTAACCATCATTAACTGCCACCACCATCGCACGCTTTGCCTTTGCCCTTAATCCATGCATTACATTGCATACAGCTTGATGCAGTCATTCAGCATCGTGTACATATTCCTATTTTCATCATCATACTTCTCTGATCTCTCCCCTATTTTCACACGTCACTTACACGTCATCTCTCTATTTTAATTTGGGCCCTTTTGTAGCAATGGGCCGGGTTCCAGGCCCAGAATCAGGCCGCCTATAGACATAGACATGAGTAAGAGAAAGGAAATAGGTTTAAAAAGCAAGTGACTAGTAACGTTAAAATGATGGATGTTGTCATGTGAGAGTGCTAAAATCATGCACACGGGTGAATTATGAACAAAACTAAAGTTGTTTTGGTAATGATTTATAATTAAAATTTTAGAACAGATATTGTGGGATATTGCCTCGGAAAGCGGTCCCGTTTTGAGCTGTATGCCGTATTTTGTTCAATGATAACGACGGTTGAGTTATGGATTTACAAGTATATAGTTTGATCTGATCACATAGAGTCAAATAGTGGGCCAGGTAAAGGGGTGTTGGGTTCAATTGTTGTGGGCCTTTTTATTGGAAATAGACCTAGCTAAGCTAACACGAAGTTTGACTGAGGCATCCAAGGGTAATTTTCACGGTGTACGTGTTTGTGTTATTTGATATTTCAATAATTTCGCACATCACGTTTTAAAAACCAAAATTGTTTAGAATATGACCTGCCTCAGCCTGACTCTGAACGATAAGGTTGTGATACGTGAATCAGAGTCTTTGTCACAAGCCGGTTCAAACTTCAAACATGCACACGGGTGAATTATTAAGGGGTGAAAGCTACACTCAAACAGTCAGAGAAAAGGATAGCTAAGTATGCGTTTGGTTTAATATTTTTATCCCTATTCTGGATCCTATTTTTCAAATAGCGTTTGGTACAATATTCTCAAAATATTACCCTATTTTTTTTAATTACATTTTAACCCCATAAGGTTATTAATTTCACTAAATACCCCCTGAAAAAAAAGTTTAAAAATTAACAAAAACACCCCCATTAACCCAACTTGTCAGATTCCGGCAACCACCGTCGGTGATAGCCGGAATCTGTACAACGGCCAAACTTCCGACCAGAAATGGCCGGAAGTTCACCGCTGTGGCCTTTTCCGGCCAGATCCACCACGGATCTGGCCGGAAAAGGCCAGATCTGGCCGTCAGCGACGGCCAAAGAAATTGCCGTCGTTGACGTCAACGACGGCCAAATCTTGGCCTCGTTGACCGAAAACGACGGCCACATCTTTGGCCGTCGCTGACGGCCAAAGAGTGGCCGTCGTTTGGCCTTTTCCGGCAAACGACGGCCATAACAAACCGTAGATCTGGCCTTTTCCGGCCAGATCCCCATGATCTAGCCGGAAAAGGCCATAACGACGTGTTACGGCACAGATCCACAAGTCTGTGCCGTAACGAAATTTTCCGGCCAGATTCCGCGGTGGTGGCCGGAATCTGACAGTGCAGGTGGTGGGGGTGTTTTTGTCATTTTACATGTTAGGGTCTTTAGTTAATAGTAAACCTAAGGGCTTTTTTATAAATTTTAAAATTTACCTCGTAACTCCCATATCCATAACCCAATACTACCCCTAAAATCCTATCCAAATACTAAACCAAACGCACCCTAAGATATTTGTTTCTTTAATATCTTTGTAATCTTTGACAATCTTTACTTCATCATCCTACAATTTCAAGCATAGATATCTCTTTTCCAATTTTATGTTTAATTTATTTAACTTTTTTATTTATTATTTATTTATAATTTATATGAGTTGAGTGAAAGGTGCATTGGCCTTTTCTATTTGAATAATACTACACCACAATAACTTTCTCCTACACGCTACGTGATAGTTTCAATGGTCAGTGTAAACGGATTCCACATGGGTCTGCATAAGTCTCACTAATTAATTACGAACGAACCATTACGAACTATCACGTCAGGATTATGAGAAAAATTGTTGATGGGAATTACTCTTTCGCCATGGCTGGATTAGTAGAAGCTAGCTAGGCTCTCATAAGGGCTAAAAAGACAAAGTAACAAGACTAAAGCTAGCTAAAGTAAATATTAGAAAAATAATTTTAAAAGAGGAGCTGACTAGACAATGCAATTGCACATTTTTTGAATTGATGTAATTGAATCTGTTCTTTTATGCTTTCACTGGATCTTCGTCAATTTCTTCTTTAATTCCATGCAATATAATAGATCTTTCTGCTATCATATCCAAGATGAGGGGATTGTCAAGAATTTTGGTTGATTTTGTTACACATAATTCGTTGAGAACGCAATAAGTTAATTGATTTTTGTAGGTCCTTTTTTTTTTTTTTTCTATCACCAGGGATGTCCGGCGCCAGCTTATATGCATCTTAACTAATCTTCTAGGGTCTTGAAATATTGACCAAAAAAGAATCCCAATAGTCAACCCCTATTAATGCCTGGAAGGACACAATTCAGAAACTTATGGAATCTTTTTTACTCTTTACCATCAAGTCACCGTGTGTTTAGTAGATCCTTTGTTGATAATTAATTTTTTTTTTTTTAAATAATCCAGAAATTCCTTGAACTTGTTTTATAAGCTTGAGTTCGAAACTGGGATCCCGTGGAACCCTGCCATCATTTAATTTGAAGGTCCCTTTTTTATCATTAGTTATTGAAATCTATTAATTTGAAGATGAGAATTCAAGCTTAAATTAGCATCGCGTTATTATAGGTCGAATTCAGAGGTAGAGAAGAAAGAGTAGCAGTTTTATTACATGGACATAAATTAAGGACGAGGACAAGGAAAAGTAGAAGGGGAAATAAACAAAATCAAGAGAGAGAGAGAGAGAGAGAAGCTTTTAAACAAAACTTTGATGCAAATCCGACTAACTTTTATACTAATTGGTAGCTAATTAGCTATAGTATGTGCAAGAATCGAACCATCTTCAATTGAACATGTTGTTTTAAGCAGAGTTAATATTGAGAATATACAAGTGATTTATGAGATGTTAATGTTTATACCATTTCATTGATTATTAATTACACATTTACACTGTACAAAAACTAAGTAGGAGTCTCATCGAGCACCGTCACCGTTAGCTTCTCCACAATAGAAGGCTTACATGGACATGCCAGAGCCACGAACTTCGGAATCTCATCTCCTGGCATCGATACTAGCAGACTTTGGGCTTGTTTTTGCTTTGATATCTGATCATAAGTACGTAAATTTAGATCAAATGTTTCATTGAAGAACAACCAAAAAGTAGAACTTCTTAAAAAAAACTATTGGAAACTAGGATACGATAGAGAGAGAAAGACATATACCCTGCGAAGAGGTGAAGATTTCTGTGGTCGTAAATGGTCGAAATTGGTTTGGATTTCATCAGCGTTATCATCATCCCTGAATCTAACCAGTGATCTAACTTTGTCCCGGAAAAAGCAACAGGTGAAAAATCCAGTCATACTACATAATATGAATAAAAGAAGAGCCAAACCAAGAGGGAAACTAATCAATGGCCTAGCTGATGATGATGCGTCTTCATTCTCCATATTTCATTCCTCTTCGTCCGTTCTTCTCTCATGAGCAGGCAATGCAAATGATCATAAATTACATGGATTCCAAGATATATATATATTAGCATTGCGGCTGAAGGTGGTGGAGTTGTTGGTGACTATTTATTGAATTTTTATGAGTGGTGGGTTGGGAACGTTGGGTTGGGTTGGGTGCATTTCTTTTAGCGTACACTTCTCCTGTGGTACGGAAGGGGTGAACGGGTCCCTCCTCGCACTTGGCTTTTAACCAATTATAATGAAACTACTTTCGTTTCGAATAAAGTTTCCAAGATTCGACAATGGCTTCCCTGTGACCTTGTCTCTCTCATGTGTGTGGTAACGTACTATTCCTTAGATGAAATTTATGTGGGGTGTAGGTCAGGAAATTCAATCATCCATAGCTACAAACACAGAAGTATAAAACTATAAAAACTTTAAACACCATCTCATTCAAATTTATTCGATTAGTAATAGACTAATAGTGTGATTACATAACTTTTCCAATATTACAGTATGACTAGTAATACAGTGACTGGAAATTGCTCTCTATACGATGATTCTCCAATCCTTCCAAGTTGAGAATATTTCACTCCGTTCAGGATCGTTCTGGACAATTTATAAAGGTTTGCTTAGGACTTTGTATAACAGTGGACATTTTCTCGTTAGTTCTTGGTATAAAGCACAAGTGGTGAATTGAATCAAGATAATATACAAAATTAGATAATGGTAGTCTTGTGTATTTTAAATTTAAAATGATCAATTGTCAAACTGATGTGAGATCTGCACTGCAGAAAATTCTTCTGATTCCATAATTATAGTGTTATACACTGGTGCTTATAAACTTCTTCACGGAACTTCAACTCCTAGTTATCAAACTGATGTGAGATCTGCACTGCAGAAAATTCAGTATGAACTCAAACATTTATATGGCGATTTAAACATGTATGACTCTCAGCAAAAGGATATCTCCAGAAATCAAATCTTGTTATTTTGGAAAGATTAAATATAATATGGTTACCTTCTCGATATTGCTTCTCTATGATCATCATATATATTTTTTCTCAAAATTATTTAGCCCAAACACCTTATCTCTAGCTTTCTTATAAATATTTCTTTTTGCTTTATATAGGTGATAGAGATATGAAGTGGGCGTTTGAAGATGATACGTTAAGGTGGTCTGGTCTGGTCTGGTCTCGTCTAGCAGCATATATATAATTATATATTGATGTTTTGTGGAAAAGGTTTTCAACGTTAAAGATGGTGCGTTCTGTATTGGACTTATCCTATACAGCTAATAAATGCATTATGAGATATATATATAATGTAACATCAAGTTTTTGAATTAAATGCATTGATCCCAAATATCATATCAGGTCTGGTCATTTCAATTTTCTATCAATTCGGCTTCTTCTAATTCCACTTTCAAGACTAGTGGAAAACATGATGATTTCAGACCTACTTGAAGTAATGAAAATGCCTTGCCATGTGGAAAGTCCTTCAACTTCCTTTAATTATAATATGTCTAGATACAGTGATACACCCAGGCTGTTTTCTCGCAAATACAGACAAATCCACAGTTTTAATCAATCTCTGCTCAAGATTATTCTCCTCAATACAATTATGTTGAGGCTATCTTTGTCAAGAACGTAGATCATGGCTTATTTCCCGAGTCGGAAACAAAGACATATTATTCATGCATGCTTTTGCTTCTGTCCATTATTATAAGCTTCATTGGGCTTATATTAATAAACCTTTCGTCTGAAAGGTCTGGTGAACTGAAATCCATATTCTCTTTATGCTAAAGTTTTAGTGGGCTGAAACACTTCTGAGCAACTCAAATTCTTAGCTCGTTACATCTATTTGGTTGGTTATTCATTTATATGTTGGCTGCAATTAAATTTCTTTAACTCTTTACAAATTATCTTCTTTTTATTAAAAGTTCTATTACGAAAATACTCATATTTAACATATTAAGAACAAAAAGAAATAATTAAATAAAGAATCCCAGTGTTAAGCCAACTCCAAAACGAAAATCACTCATCATTTCAGTTTTTAATTGTTCATTCTAGTAATGCAAACAAAATTAAGTTAACTGAGAAAAGATTTAAAATTAGTTTGGGCTGAGTTGATCTGAATTGGGCTATTGTCATAGTCTGGGAGTTGAAGCCCATTAAGGGCAACTCTTATGGACTTTCAAAGAAGATGACGAGAAGTAGACTTCTTAATACTGTGATTCGGCCCATTCAGGTTTCACCTGAGAGCTCGATCATTGTTGTTAGAGGCTTATTAATGGGGTAACAACATAATATGAGTGAGTGGGCACAGTGGCCTGTGCCGAGGCGATTTCAAATTGTGTAGTAGAAATTCAAAGTAATTTACCTTTTTTTGTCATTGATTTGGAGAGTAATATTTCCTACAAATTAATATGATTCTTAAACTTTGTCGTTTGTTTCTAGTTTTAAATCCATCTATCATATCATATTACACTATGAAAGATCAGATTATCATGTCTCCTTCCAGATCGAAGACGTTCAATTCTCTTAAAACCTGGGAATCAGTAAGAGGAATTGCAATTTCATCTGACTAAGCAGATTCCACGTTGTTTATTTACTGCTTGGTTGGTTTTTAAATAATGATTTGAAGTGAAAATACAAAAAAAAGGGTCTTTGTTTGTTGGCCTTTCAACTTAATGGTTGGGAATTTTAGTTTGAAAATACTCCTAATAGACTGTTACAGCTGATATCATGAATCCAGAAGTTACTTGCCATGGATATCAGTGGCCTTTTACGAATGAACAATTAAATAATAGTCCCGGAATAAGTTTGTAGTATGTGGGTTTTATTTTTTGCGAACATTCTGTTCTCAAAATTTATCTTCATGAATAGGGAGAAACAGAGAGGGTATACAGGATAAACTATTGAGGATACAGAATATACAACTTTCAAAATGAATAGGTAAAGCCACTTTCAGAGGTTTTGAGATTCGTTCTCAATCATCGATTTGAGGATAACGAGGTAATTATTCTGTGCAAAAGCTAGATTTGAGCATCTTCGTGGCAACTGTGTGGAAATGTCTCAGCTTCTTCGCGGTGTTGGGAGCTTTATGAAGGCCTGATGCATAATTTGTTGTTTTCCAAAAAGTTTTGCCCCCTTCTTGGGTCATGTCAAAAGATTCTCTAGGATTAGCGATAGCAAGGTGAGTTTCAGAACCTTGTCAATGCCCTATAAGACCTCCCAAAAAGAGCATTAATAAGCGATCAAAAGCAATGAAAGACAAGACAGATTGATTTAATAATTAGATCAAAAGCCATCAAGTATATTATATTTATATATGTATCTTCAGTATCAACTGATTGCTTTTGTGTTATTTTTATGTTTGGGTGCTATAGTACATCAATAAGCTTTATGTTTCCTACAGCTTTATTTCTTCTGTAGGAATACGCGTTTGGCGTAGTATGCATGTAAAGTTTTCTATTCCTACCAAAACAATGCGCTCCAATTTGTTATGGGGACGTTTTATTTTTGGCCCAATAATCCAGATCAACCATTTGTTGTTACATGAGTCCATTATTTCAGGTACCTAGGTTTACATCCCCATATTAATTGGTAGCTGAGACTTTCATTTGAATCTCTCATTGCTGCTACTGTGGTCCTTGAACCTCCATATTTAAATATTGATTAAAAGGTCAAGTTTAACATAAGATGGGAGAAACTTCGTCTACTGGCTGCCAAAGTTTCGATTTCGGTATTACACAGAAACATATTTTGGTACCTAAAGGTCAACAACAGCAGCAAACAAAAAAATGTCTAAAGTTAAAGCTGATAGAAGGAGAAAATTGAAAATTTCTGACCTTATTGATAATACATGCACTCTTGGCTTTTTCGGTTGAATCAACCTCTCTCGAGATGTCATGTCCAGATTTTGATATGAAATTTGTACATTGAAGTCCGTGAATACGAAAGTAAAAAACCAGTTATTATTAATTGTGTAATTTTTTAGTAGTTTTAAGTACAATGATAATTGTTTTCTCACTAGTGCTTTTTCTGTCGTTGTTGCACCTCAACTCTGTTTTGATTGACATACCGTGGGCCTTTCCATGAACCTGTGTGCGCCTGCATGTGCTCCCAATTACAGTTCTCAAGTGATTTGAATGGTACTACCACATACTATGTTTCTAGAATAACAGCAAATTGTGATTTTAGTGCATATTATAACATAAAAAGTGAACAAGAATATTCTTACAAGATTCGGGTCTACAGTATTTTTAAGGTTGAAATAATTGCTAGTAAAAACACCAATCAACTAACGTTAGCTAATTCAGGGAATTGGTCCAAGTTGTGTTTAGGTAAACTTTAGTAGCAAAAGCTTCCAAAGAAACTTGGGTAGCTTGCTTAATTACCCCGAATAATCTGGAAAACATTCCCCTGAACATCTAATTTCTTATTGAACTATATTTCACCAGAAATGTTGGAACTCAATTATGCATTCATAAACATCTCCAATCAGAATAGATATTACATTGCTATGAGAACTGAGAAGTACAAGTCACTTATTAAACCAAAAAAAAAATCATTACAACCTTTCCTTTTTAAAAGCTCAATGAAATTACAGAGATGAGGGAACCTGTCTCTGAAAATTTTAGCATAAAGTTGCTCTTTTTCTTTTCTACTCCCTTTATTCCTACAGACATCTCCCTCCATAGCCTGCATTTCTAAATAATGCCTGCTTTATATCTTCAGAGCTTATTAGCGTTCTCTGCTCCGTTTCCTATCAGCATCACAATAAAGATAAAAGTTAAACATTGCTCTGTTCACAATTGATTAACTATCACTAAAGCAATACCCAACAAATTATTAAGATTTGAATTTGTACCTCTGAACAGGAAGCTTGGACTGAAAAGTCATTAAAGCAGCTAATAACACACTGTTCAATCTCAAGGCCTAATGCTTCCAGGGTTGATACCGTTGATAACAACAATCCTGGCTTCCCTGCACAGCAAATCTCGATTCTGGTATCCATATTTCTTCTTTCCACGCCAAACTGCAACCCATAACATGTGGAGTATCCAATTTAGAAAATTTTCCAATAATTTAAGTCTTATCTCAATTGAAGGTCTTACTCATGAGTATTGCAGAGTCCATACCTTTGGTGTATTTCTCACTAAACTTTCATTTGGCTTCACATCCTTACAAATGCCCACTGTCTCCATATGAGTTGAATCTGCTTCAATTTCTTGTTGCAAGTTATTGATTTTCTCAAGGAGCTCTTTCATGTAGTCTATGGTATCTCCGAGTATAGATGTCCTGTCCATCTATTGAAAACAAAAACAAAGGGAATTAAAACCAAATAAGGTATATAAATTATACTTTAAGAAGTAACCAGCAATGGAGTTGATTTACGTACCTTGCTTATTTTTGGAACTATCGATCTCAGCATTGAAAGGCGGTCATTTAAGCGCTTCCTTCGCCTTCTCTCGGCCATTAGATTTTTTGATGGCTGCCCCTCCGACTTCTTATTTCTATTCTTTCGTTCGAGACAAGTTCCCATGTTGAAAACTGGGATTTCAGGAGACTCCTGAAATGGCTCCACTTTGCAAGAAGAAGAAGATTGCACATCGAGATTTTGGAAATTTTCCACAAGTAGATTATTAGGTTCTTCATCGTCCATGATGGACAATGGAAACTCTTCTGGAATTGGAAATGGTGGTGTATCAAGTGTGTTTATTGATGAATCAGTAAGTTGTGGTGCTGACAATTCATCAACAAAAGGACAATAGACTTCATTGAAGTTGTTGTTGTAGTTGAAGTCTTGTTCAAGTGGCGCAGAAAAAGCTTGATAATAAGAATTTGGAAGAATGGGAGCTGGGCTTTGATCATAGCAACCATAACTCCAATTACTAGAGAATAGTCCATCCATTTCTGTAGGGATGGTCTCCCAAGTGTCTCTTCTTAGAGCTAATAATTCCTCTAAGAAACCATGTTCACTAAACTCCATAACTTCTCTCACCACTAAATGCCTAATACCACCTTGAGAAGATGAAGTTGCACCCAGCGGAAGAATATATAGGTACACCAATGAAAGGTTGTTAATTAATTAAATATTTAATTAATTTATAGTATGTATGTAATTATATTTATATATGTTGTATTTATAGCACTTTGCGCCTAATTAGATTGAAATGGAATCTGCTTTTTTCTTTACACTTATCCGTGGGGGGGTGATTTTGTGTCTTTTTCACCGAAATCTCTGCAATCAAACAAACTAAATATTTAATTGTTGTTTACTCTGAAAATTTTGACCCACAGATCTGTCTGAAACGAAAAAGGATGGTATTAGCATCATAGACCTTGTCAGGTTCTTTGTATGCTCAAGCTCCCTGCAATATTATTTCCCCATCAACCATTTACAGAAATTTTTCTTTGCTGAGTTGGGTCCCATATCTCTCTACCTCTAGAATTTGGCTTACTTCACGCTTTCAAATGAGTTGGTGGGCCTCTTTTGTTCTTTACTCACTTTTCTTCTTTACTAAACTTTCAATTATACATCTGTCTCAATTCTGGTTTTACTTTACTACTAATTCTATTAACTATCCAACCTAATTTATATATTAAATTAATTTAATTTAATTATAAGGACAGTACTATCTCATTCTCATCTCTCACCTGGATAAATTAACAATGCGACGTACAGATCCAAATTCATCCATAGACTAGTGCAATAATTCTCTTTCTTATTGACCCTAATTTGGCTCATGTACTTGTTCTTTGCTCTAAAATGAATATGCAAATGCTATTCTCATTATTAATTAATATGGCTGCATGAGGGTTATATTGTGCGCCAAATACCTAGGCTTTTATATTCTATTACCAATTGCCCTGCTACATTTATTTAATTTACTAAAGGGACAAAATGTTTGCTATTCTATTATCATTACTGGTAGGTAAGGTCCAATATAATTTTTAAAAACTGCAATTTGATGGCGGTGAGTGGCGACATAGAACCCCATTGAAATCGGAGTACAGGTTGACTCTTCGGAGTACAGGTTGACTCTTCAGTTCATAATTCATCACTTTCATGTTGTATTAATTGGAAATAGACCACACCTGTTCTGTCAAATTTGTCCCACAGACTCCATGTAAAAAGTATTGTCTTGTCCCAAGAAAAAACTAAAATAAATAAATAGTTTGTATAGGATAATCAACATGTCTCAACGTATATGTAAAGTTAAATAGGATAACTACTTTCTTAGATGTATTTTGTCATTAACGTCATGTATGATATGTATGTTCGCCATATATATATATTTTTTTATTTGGTTATCATGAGTGTTTAGGTCAGTTTGCGTACACCTAAATTAATCTTTTGGGGTTCTAAAGTTAATGATTGAATAAACATTTCAATGGTCACCCCTGTTAATAATAAAGAGCAATCAAACTCATGACTTATTCAATAATATATTTAAGAGTCTCTATTGTCTCATTCAATCATCAGGGATGATTATGAAGAATAAATTCTAAATTGGATTGAAGCATACAATAGACCTATCCATAATCATGCCAGTAATTATCACAACTGGCTTGCTAGGATGGGCATTTTCCGGTGAACCCAAAACCAGCGAACTGAAGCCCTATATAAGAAGAATCTGTGCCACGTGCTACACGTATAACACAGTCGAACAAATTAACATGGAAAAATTCTAGACACGTGGGTTCACTCTACTTTCCTAGTGTATGATTATGATAAGCAGCTAGTCGTTGTGCCAGGATCTTGAATATAACGCAACTACAATTTAAGGTGATAATCAAACACAAAGAAGAAAGGTATTCGAAATCTTTAAGAGGCAATGATTAGGTGCAATTTTCAAACAAAAAGTTTTGGAAATTCTAAAAACGAAATGATTTGGTGAAAACTTCAAACATAAAGGTTTAGGAAATTCCACATTCCTGTTCTACAATATGATTACCATCGTCTCCTAGCAGCCAATTTGGGGCCATCTACATGAACAAAATGATTAAGCATGAACAATGATGGTGATGATTTATCTTTAAACAATTAATTTGCCACATTAGTAATTATCATACATCAGAAAATTATATTAATATATTAAAAAATTATAAGACTTTGAGCTAAATGACATAAAATTAGATACATGTCAAATAAAGGTAATAAGTAAAAAAATAAAGTTATATTTGGTGAGTCTTTGACGTAAAATAAAAATCAATTTTATAAGCGCACCGTTAATTGAGAAATCTCAATATTATAATATATTTTCATATTTGTTTCTTTAAAGTGTAACGTTAGGATGCTTACTGAGAAGTCTCAACAATATACTAATAAATTGATATGTAAGAACACGGTGCGTTTTGATTGGAGTAGTGGTGGCACTGGCATCCCTTCCACAATAAACAAAGACAGGAAAGATAAAAAGAAAACAGGAAAAGGAAGATATTTTGGAGGAGGTGGAGAGTACGAATGCCGAGGAGAATAATGCATTAGCGACGTGAATTTCTCATCAGTTTACGTGGCTTTCCTAGAGCTTTTCGTGTCAAACTTAATATTACATACGCTTGGAACTTGCCAGTACCAAAGAATTAACAATGCTACATTCATACAACTTATCCAAATTACACAATATTATAATCAAAACAGCCTATTCAACTCCAGTTTCTTTTGAAAAAGAAGCTACTTTGGTTTCTAATTTAAGTAAACAAATTATTACGTGAAGGTTCGACGATTAGTCATAGCTGTCGTGCATTATATTTTTAATGTCGTTACCGCTGGTTATGGCAAAACATTATTGTGGATTAAGAATATTTTTTACACTTTTCTTGAGTAGAACTAAGCTTAATTAGTAGTTGACAGTCATAGTATATACAGAATACTCTCCGACATTTCATGGAAGCATCCAGATAACAAGTTTTGGTAGCATCAATCTTTTGTTTCCTCACACCGTTTGCTAAAATCATAATGTCTGCTTCTCTATCGAATAATTAAACATCAAGACAAACACATAAATAACCAAAGATTTCTTTGTGAAAAGAGGAAGCACGTACGTAGTTTAACTCGTATAACAAGGTTCCAATCTTCAGTTCAGACTTCAGATAATTTATACTAAATTGATCCATTGTTTTAACTTGCTGTATGGACATAAGGTTTAATGCTTTGCTTGATATTAGCCTAATTTGATCATATAAATAAATAAATGTTTTAAAACAAAATCTACTAGCTTTTGTTAATAAATATAAATTTTTTTCATATGAGCAGTAAATAATGCAATAATTCGATACATGTTATCAATGCTTTCTTATATAAATTTACTAATTATCACTTGTCTACACCATCTTATAAATCCATATATATTATGCATAATCCAAAATTTAAATCTATTTGTCTATATCATTTCAGCAAATATTATTAATGAGATCTTCACATTTATTTGAAAACGAAATATATATATATATCACCTATTTGCATTATATCAATTGGCATTATTAAAATCTTATATTCAAATTGACCGTTCATCAGTTTATGTTATTAACGTTCTAATTTATAAGTAAAGATACACACTATCATCGTGATAGATCCAATTAATAAATATTAAAATTATATTTAGTATCTACCCAAGTTTATATTAAAAATATAAAATTGTATTTACTGTTGTCTTACGTATGATCTTAGCCCAAGTTATAAATGTAGAATTGATTCGCATCTAACTAGTACCCCCCTCAAAAAAAAAAAAAAAAAAAAAGGACAGATGTATGAATAGTAATTAAATTTCGATTAATAAATTTCGTAGTAAGAAGAAATGTTAGAAGGATATAAAAAGACAATTGACAATATATATATTTTATGTGACAATGACACAACCACCACGAGAAGCACAGGCAAAGTAGGGAAAATGGTGATGTGAGAAAACCGCGGGCTGTTTCTCCCTACCACCCCGACACAAAGCGGTTTTGCAAACCCTACTTTCACAGTTTCTCTTTCATAATACAGCTTGACAGCCCACAATATCTTATTAGGGTTTGAAGGTCTTCCTCAAAACCACTCTTTCTCTAATTTTGTCTTCTACTGCTTTGTTTGGTTGTGCCATCAAGAACAAGAATTGAGGGGCCAATAGGTGCAGTGATACTGTACCAAAATGGCAGCCTTTATTTTTGGATTAGACCGTCTTTTTCCATCTTTTAGACATGGCTTGCTCGTGTGTGTGGATGTTTTGGGTGAAGTGATTAGCAGTATTTGTTTGAAATAAATAAATTAATAAAGTAGAAGTACTACTTTTTTCTTCTTCTTCTTCTTCCATAAAGGCCGGTAATTATAATTTGGTATTGGCATATTGTATACGTCTTTAGTTGCAGGAAAAAGGCAACCATTATAGAGGCTTAGAAGGGATGTCCTTCACGAGTCTTTTCTTCTCGCAAGAAAACGAGGGCAACCCTACAAATCACAACCACTCATCAAAAGATGTGTTAAAATCTATATTGGTCAGCAGTATAATTAACGTTAAATCACAAGTAAAATTAGTGTATATGTCTGTAAATCTGACATCACCACTAACAGTAGCTTGTATGCTTGCCTTTCAAGTTCTGGAAAATTCATTAGCTAGCTGTTATATCTCGCAACTAAGAATATGGGAGCTGGTAGTGAAACTAAGACCAGTCAACAAGTTACAAATTAAATTCAACATTTTTATACCAGTGCCCCATGTTGACACTCCGATTTGAATGTTAAACTACTCATTTAATTTGTATACGTAAGTTATAGAGGAGCAACCAGTGAAGCTTTATCACACTCACACATTAACCCAGTCATTTAAAATGGTTCACCAAGTCGGTGTATTATTTTTTACACATGTCCTGACTGGGCATTCTGGTTGAATAAAACGCAGTACAATGATGAATTTGTCGTCGACAAGAGATTGAGTTTTTATTTTTTAGTTTTTCGCACTCTGTCATATTGCTTGATGAGAAATTTAAATGCACGTAAGTGTTCCCATTATCAGTTGTCTTTTCACACAA